CGGGGTTTCACCATGTTGACCAGGATGGTCTCGATCTCTTGACCTCGTGATCCACCCGCCTCAGCCTCCCAAAGTGCTGGGATTACAGGCTTGAGCCACCGCGCCCGGCCATGTAGGGTTTTTAAATTTGAAAATAACAGTTAACAAGAATTTTTAAAATACTAAAGATACACAGCTTCACAGAATGTTTTATGTCTGGGTTTTCTACCTGAATGGAACTTCCTATAGGCAATTCAAAATGTGGGTGAAGTCTGAGTGGCATGCTGTAGGGTGATGGGGAGGAGACCAGATCCAGAGCCAGCCTGCCAGGCTGCAATCCTAACTCTACTGCTTACTCCTATCTATATGACCTTCTTTAAACAAATTTTTTTTAATTTTATATTTTACGGCTGGGTATGGTGGCTCACACCTGTAATCCCAGCAGGAAGGCCAAGGTGGTTGGATCACCTGAGGTCAAGAATTCAAGACCAGCCTGACCAACATGATGAAATCCTGTCTCTATTTAAATTACAAAAATTAGTCAGACGAGGTGGCCCACATCTGTAATCCCAGTTACTTGGGAGGCTGAGGCAGGAAAATCACTTGAACCTGCAGGGCAGAGGTTGCAGTGAGCCGAGGTTGCACCGCTGCACTCTAGCCTGGGCAACAAGATCAAAACTCCATCTTAAAAAAATATATTAAAAAAATTAAATATTTTTATTTAACATAGAAATGGGTTTCACCATGTTGCCCAGGCCGTCTCAAATTCCTGGGCTCAAGTGACCTACCCACCACGGGCTCCCAAAATGCTGGGATTATAAGGTGTGAGCCACCCCACCTGGTCTGTATGAACTTAAGTTCTGAGAAATGGGGCCATGAGTCTCTATCTCTCATAGGATGGCTCTGAAGATTAAGTTCATTTAGAAAACTAAACGGGAGAAGCAGTGTTGCAATGGCTGCGTGATCCTGCAGTCCCCTAGCTGGGCAATGGAACTTCCTTGCTGCTATCATGTACAACTACAGTAATGTTGGTCTTCTCATTGGTGCCACCGTATAGCACAGGGCTTACAGTCAAGGAAACAGGCGTCCTCAGCTTTTTAAAGAGGTCAACATCAGTTCAGTTTTCTTATCACCCATTATCCATCCTGGCCCTATGGCCTAAGTGTAAGAACAAGGATTTAAGATCAAACCTTGAAATATCTAAAGATTTGGGTCATACAGATGAGAGACGCTTGCTATTTTACCCCCTGAAAGACTTGACATGAGTAACCTTACCACACCTACTATCTCACTCCTGTAATACTTTACCTTCAAGAAAGGCCCATGATGCTTTTTCTAAAAGATTGTAATATTTGTGTATTTCTTTCCCATTTAACAAGTACTAACTGCACTACATTTTTAATTAGTTTCTGAGTTTTGTAATGTTGCACAAAGTTTGAGTGCTATGCCTGAACTCCATTTTTTCTATTGTACAATTTCACGATTTTTAGGAAAGCAAATGTCAAGTTACAGCAATGCATAAATGGGAGGGAGTGGTAGCATCATACCAATTGGAAAGGAGAGCACCATTTTCCTCCTCAGTGTGAACTTCTCATAAGCTCTGCACTATTATTCCCTTCCCTGACCTCCTATACATTGGTCCCAAATCCTCAGTCATATGGGGCAATAAGCAGCTAATGTTACCTAAACTTTTTTGAGACGGAGTCTCGCTCTGTCACCAAGGCTGGGGAGCAGTGGTATGATCTTGGCTCACTGCAACTTTTGCCCCCCTGGGGTTCAAGCAATTCTACTGCCTCAGCCTGCTGAGTAGCTGGGACTACAGGTGCCTGCCATGGTGCATGGCTAATTTTTGTATTTTTAGTAGAGATGGGGTTTCACCATCTTTGCCAGGCTGGTCTTGGAACTCCTGACCTTGTGATCCACCTGCCCCAGTCTCCCCAAGTGTTAGGATTACAGGCGTGAGCCATGGTGCCTGGCCTACCTAAACCCGTTCTTAATTTAAAATGTCTTTCTTTGGGGACCACTGAAGTTCTCTTCCCTCCTCTAGCAAGCTTTTAAAGTGTTGTTTACATTCTTGCCTCCAGCAGAACCACAGAATGAGAAAATGCTCTCACTTCATTTTTGTTGAGAATCTAACAATATGGAAGATTAGGTTCCAATCATGAATTAAATCTGAAGGGTATCACTCAGCACTAAAACATGTAGAGAAAATGCCTTGAGTGTACTGAGACAGGTTGATTGTGACATAAAAACACCAGAGTAGGCTGGGTGCGGTGGCTCACGCCTGTTATCACTTCAGGCCAGAAGCTCAAGACCCCCCATGGAAAGTAAAGCAATTTGAGAAACAGAAAATAGACTGGAAAGTAACAATGAACTCACAGAGCTAAAATTCTTAAACTTCAGCCAAGTGTCCCCTCCTCTGCATATTGTAAAAATTGAATAGGGACAAAGTTGTAGGCACAGGTGCACACCAGATGAAGTCAGGGGACTCGGGTTAAAAATAATCTTAAAAAGATATTGCATTATCTTTCCTACACAACCCCTCTTGCTCTATTGCCAATGCGGGATCACTTCATCTGCCACTCAACAGCAGATACTTAACTCTTTAATTGCCCATAACTGATCCAGTGCTTATCTTCCCATTAGGCCATCAGAACTAATCAACTGTGAAGCATTTTTGACAGACATAAGCAGTATGATGGTAGAATCAGGGTTTGAAAGACCACTTAACAGTGGAATTGCTTTAAAGCTGATGCCAGTTATATATATAGGTCAAGGAACTCAGGAGTGTAAAGATGGTCTTCTATATACTACTCCAAGACCACAAAAAAGGAGCATGTTGTATAGCTTAAGCTTTCTATAAATTACCGTTATAAAACTTTTTAGTCCGTTTCCAATAAACAAAACAAAATCCTCAACTGTGTAACATTAAAGTCACATTGCTTTTAGAGCCTAGGTGGTTTGTGTTCTTCTATCTACACTCCTTTCTGGGTGAGGACACGGTGTGATTTAGAAGATACGTGTAGTATAGGCCATCTGTATGCAAAGAAAAAACAATTGCTCGGTATGTCTGAGTAGGAACTGAGACTTTTCAGGTTAGCTTTAACAATGCAAATGCCAGTCAAGACCAGAACTAGTTCATTTCTTGTTCCTAGGCCAGGTTTATCCTCATTATGAAAGCCTGCTTCTGTAATTACTTGCACCACATCTTTTTCCTCTCAGGATGGATGTGATTCATAGAATTTATTCACAATTAAAATGTGGAAGACTAAATTTTTGTTTTATATTTTGACTGACTCCTGCCAACTTAAGTTTCTACTACTACTGTGCTTTTTTTCTTTTTGATGGAGCCTTGCTGTCACCCAGACTGGCATGCAGTGGCGTAATCTCTGCCAGGTTCAAGCAATTCTCCTGTCTCAGCCTTAAGTAGCTAGGATTACAGGTGTGTGCCACCATATCTAGCTAATTTTTGTATTTTTATTAGAGATGGGTTTTCACCATGTTGGCCAGGCTGGTCTCAAACTCCTGACCACAGGTGATCTGCCTGCCTCGGCCTCCCAAAGTGCTGGGATTATAGGTGTGAGCCACTGTGCCCAGCCTGTACTTGTAGATAAGTACTGTAAGGTTATAGTTAAATCAACTAAGTAACAAACAGCAATACAAAACCTTCCTCTGATGCCCAACTAAAAATCCAACTTATGACAAAGCAGAGAATGATCAAGTACAAGAGATCTTAACACCAAGCATCAACCACAGGCACTATCTGCCATTTGCTTCCATGCGCCAGGCACTTTCAAGGCCTGGTAAAGTTCTAGTGTCTTCATCCTACAGCAGAAAACCAAGGCCCAGAGCAACTTGTCTAAATCAACATAATGTAACAGGTAATAAGAGTTGTTTTTCCCAGGCATCAAAGAGGGAAAAAAGGAACAAAAAAAAAAAAATTGTTTATAGCAGCACCTTACAGCTGTTACATCCTTACCACCTTATTATGAAGCTGCTACTTTACTACCATCGTTTTCTTTATTAGAGATAGGGTCTTACTTCGTCGCCCAGGTTGGAGCGGAGCCTCCACCTCCTGGGCCCAAGCGATCCTTCCACCTCAGCCTTTTGAGTACTGCGACTATAGGTAAGGATCATGCCCGGCTAATTTTACATTTTTTTGTGTGGAGACAGGGGTGCTCCCTGTTGCCCAGGCTGGCCAAACTCCTGAGCTCACGCAATCCTTTCACCTAAACCTTCCAAAGTGCCGGGACTTACAGGCATAAGCCACTGTGCCTTGCCTTACCACCATTTTTCAGCTGGGAAAACTGAAGCACAAAAGGGTTAGGTGACTAGCCTATGTTCAGACAGTAAATGGAAGAGGCAAGATTTGAGTCAAGCAGACTGGAAGCAAGGTCTACACCTTTACCACTCTATACTACTGTACTGCCTGAAAAATGAAGTAAATCTTTTAAGTCACTCTGAAAAATAGTCACCCAGTTAACTAAAGTGTTCAAAAGAGCAGAGATGTTGCTTTTCATTTCAGCGGAGTTCAGAAGACTTCTTAAGGCGAAGACAGGTTAGCAAACTAAAACTATAAAAAACAAGGAAGAACTGGTAATGCAGTGTTTTACTTAAACCTGACGAATGTAAAAATAAAAAATAATAATAAAAAAAACAAGGAAGAAAAAAGGAATTGAGCAATGTGTGGCTTTTCTAACCCAGTATTTCCATTTAATGGTATTAATGTCCATGTTTACTTGGAATAAATCTAGCTTGATTTGTATCAGTCTATTCATTTAGTCCAAGTTTAAAATTGTTAGGAGGCTAGTGAACTGAACTGTTTAGAAAATGCTGTCCTGGAAACAGTGCTCACATACATACTGGACTTTATCAAAATTTCATTGTTCTATATGTAACTCCCAGTATTTTTTTTTTAAAAGCAGAATCAACCTACTTTCCAATAAAGCAAGTCTGTTAATATACATAAAGCTGATATGTAAAATTTTACCTCTATTTTGGATAGAAGCCAAAGCAAAACATGAGGAATAAAAACATTTATCTATGCATTCAGAATCACACACAAGTTACCTTTACAGTTCAATTTACTATATAGAAATCACTTGGGTTTTATATTTTCAGTTAACTTTTGAACCAAGATTACAATATTATAACAAAAACTTTACATTAATTCAGAACTTTTTAGCATACCAAATTGAAATACACAGGTTCAAATTTCAGATTTATGGCAAACAGTCTTCAAATACAATACAGACATTTCTTAAAATTACCCTATCATTCACAAGTGGTATTTGCAACTCTGAGCTGTTTCACACAAACAGCTCTCCTACAGATATGGCAAAGTTGATATGCCATGAAGTTCAAAGCCAGTACAGCCAAGCCAAGGACTCAAAGTTGCACCATCTTTAAAAAGGTTTGACATTTCTGGACCACGACAATGCACAACATGTGAAGAAGGTAGGAAACAGTTCCCCCTCCTTGTTATGGTTTAAAAAATCTACAAGGTAGCTTGGAATTTTGCATAAAACTCCATATTATACCTTGGAAAAGTCCAAGGGTAATTTGATGGCGATAAATTGGGGTCCTACTTTTTTTAATTAATAGAACCCGAGAAATTCAAATGGGCATTAATCAAATCAAAAAATATTAAGCACCTACTGGTTTAAGAGAATTTATTAGAGATTCATGATCAATTTCTTTCCACCTCAAAATCAAGGTGTAAAACCAGCTATTAAGTGCATTCCAAACTTCTCCTATGTAGTACAGGTAGAATTTTCTGTCCATTGGCACCAAAGTGAAGTCACATTTCCTCTTGGGAGACAGAAATTCTGCACCTGAACATAGAGTAAGTTAGGAAAAAATGACCCCTGTTGTTTATTACTATTGTTATTCTCAGATCTAGGATTACTAATATACTAGCAGTAAACAAAGCAAAATCCTGGCAACAACTGTCAGGTTAGTGATGCTAACTCCCTTTCCCAATCACCACAAAATTTTAGTAAGAAAAGAATTAAAAGTAATGACTAAGCAGAACAAACGGGAATAACAGGAAGCTAAGGGAACAGCTCAAACCAAAATTAAAAATTCCTAAATTTGAAATCACTGCAATTGAAGAAAATAAGTGTGCTTTACCCCAACCCCATCCCAACTCTGAATTTAAACATTCCGTGCAAAAGAGCAACAGGTATCTGGATAAAGATGTAGCCCTTCTTTAAGTTTTAGTGCTCTGCAGTTTTCTGCAATTTTATTTCCCTCCCCCTAAGTTTATTCAAAGTATTTAACAGAATCTTCCATTTCAGCCAGAAGATTGTGATTCAAAGATTTACTAAGGTACTCTATGCAGTCTATCTATACAGAAACACCTATTTATTATTACAATTCATTTATGCAGGATTGACATTTTGGGTGTTAAAATTGTTAAACATCATGCTTACTGCACATCAACTCTCCATAATGAATCTGAACTTCACAATGATTTACCAAACACTTTACTTAAATTACTAATTAAATAACTGAAAAATGCACTGAGCCAAACAAAACTTAACTGGGATATTAAAAAAAACAAACAAAAAAAACCCTTCAAAACAGTCCGTATACACATCTATTTCAAAACTACCTTTGCTAGCTAGCCCCTTTCCCGAAGTTTTAGCCTGAAAAGACAGTAAAATCTACACAAAATTTTATTGCAATCATACAAGGGTTACATTAGGTCAAATACAACAAATCCTATGATGCAATTTTACATTTATTAAACTACAGTTCAAAGCACAAATTTACACATTCTAAATACACTAAACGTTATCTAATGAAGTCACACTGGTCTTTTGCTAACATGTGATATATCTGGGTGAAAGACATGAACTTTACAAGACTTTTAAACACAAATCCTTAGTATAAAAACTGTGTTCTTGTATGTAAACGGTTTAATGGGGAACCCAATTAATGGGCTTCCATCTCCACTAAGTCATCCATTTTGTTGCATATTTTATTTTAAACGCTTAAGGGGTAGGACAAACTGGTAGGTTTAAATCTGGATACATTATCCCCATTGAAATCTCCCATTATCCCCAATGAATTATAGATGAAAGCTGATTTTGTCTGGTCCCAAATAGCTATTACTAATAGTTTTTGTTGCCAAATAATTAAGAGAATAAGATCATTTAAATTACTTTTCCACACTGGAATGTTGACCAGACAAGCTTAACCTGCAACTTCAGATCTAAAGAAGCGTTAATGCCTGTTTAAGCTTCAGTGGAAAAGCTGTCTTCTTGGGTCAGCTGAATGCAAGAAGGCACAAAGAAGAAGTTCTTCATCATTGCATCGGAAGTAATTCCAGCATCTTGCATCTCATACCTACAAAGAAAAAAAAAATAAGCTAAATTCTGAATTTAAGCCCAAGACCACACAATCACATAACAAATGGATAATGAAATAGGACCAAAACTAGTCTTCCAAAAAAACCTGTCATTTTTCTATTATAGTCATGCATTGCAGAGTGATGTTTTGGTCAAAGACTAATATATGAAGGGGTGTACCTTAAGATTACCGTGGAGTTAAATTCCTATCACCTTGTTACATGGCAGCAATCATAATGTCATAGCACAATGTATTATCCTTTCTATGTTTAAGTATCTTTAGATACACAAATCTCACTGTGTTATAACTGCCAACAATACTAAACAGAGTAACATGCTGTACAGGTTTGTAGACTAGGGGCCTAGGAATGTAGTAGGCTATGCCATCATAGTTACCTAATGTGCACTTGTCAGAAAAAATTCCCATCATTAAGCAACTATACTTTGTAAGCAATACATAACTGTATTTCTAAGTTCAGCATTCATTACAGAATTAAAGCTTATTAGCAAGTCTTTAACAACAGTCAAATATCCCATCTGCTTTAAAATCACCTTACCAATCACTGAATGACATCATGTAATAAATGGCTGGCCTCTGAAAATCATTAAAAGCAGATGGTTCATGGAAAGAATCTGCTCCCATGTTATCAAAGATAAGCCAATCTCCCACATTCAGCTCAGGAAGAAGACAGCTTTCCACAATTTGATCAAGCTCATCACAGGATGGACCCCAAAGGCTGCTTGTAAACAGAGGCTCATCTTCCTTGTATTTCTGTAGGAACGGAATAGTTTTATCAATTCAATCTTTACTCATACCTACGCAGGTATTGAATTTGTGAGTAGATTAAGTATTTTTCACTGTCTCAGATCCAATGTGCTCACGGAAAAAAGGCCTAGAGCCAAGGGCACAGTGCTCCTTAAGCCTCAATGGTACCATTAACTTTATGCAAAGGCAACAAACTAAAAAGGAGACACCACCAGAAGAACACAAATCCTCAAAAAGGGCATTTTCCCCCATTCTAAAATGTTTTTCAAAATATTGGGAAGCGTCTTAAAAGTAACAGCTCAGTTTATAAACTGCCAAACAGGTTTTTCTGATAAAACTTGCCTTGTGAACCTCTGGAATGGTATTTAAGTCCTCAGAAAGTTTACTTGCAAAAGAACCATAAACACCATCATTCATATAATACATGAAGGCTGGTTCATCACTTCCGGTTTTTTCTACTGGAATAAAACAGAAAAGGAGAAAATGAATTTTTAGTTAGATGGCTAATATAAAACAAATTAATTTTCACAGTTCTCAAAATATTTAAAACTTAAAAAAAAAAAAAAAAAGACACATAGAGCACGCATTTCACAAAAGAAGATAACGAACGAGCCCAATAAAAAAGTGATCTAGGGCTGGACACAGTGGCTCACGCCTATAATCGCAGCACTTTGTGAGGCTGAGGTGGGGGATCACTTGAGGCCAGGAGTTCAAGACCAGCATGAACAACACATGGCAAAACCTGTCTTTACTAAAAATACAAAATTATCCAAGTGTGGTGGTACACGTCTGTAATCACAGCTACTTGCGAAGCTAGAGCACCAGAATCCCTTGAATCCAGAGGCAGAAGTTACAGTGAGCCAAGATCGAACCACTGCACTCCAGCCTGGGTGACAGGGTAAGACCCTGTCTCAAAAAGAGAGGGGAGGAGAGGGGAGGAGAGGGGAGGAGGGGGGGGGGAGAGGAGAGAGGAGAGAGAGAGAGAGAGAATGTATTAAGACTCTAGAAGCCTTTCTGGTAGTTGCTGTTTCAAAAAAGAGAAAGAAGATCAAGCAGCAAGGAAAAACAATTTTTAGTTTCTTTCCACATCAGGAAGAGGAAGGCAATATATAATATATGCTCAAGGAATTAAATATGTGTTTCAATGTGGAATTAAAAATAAAAGTTGAGATTGTGCCACTGCACTCCAGCCTGGGTGACAGAGTAAAACTCTGTCTTAGAGAAAAAACAAAAGTCACACAAACTCCACAAGGCCAGGTGTATTGGCTTAAGCCTGTAATCCTTAGCACTTTGGGAGGCTGAGGCAGATGGACCACTTGAGCTCAGTTTAGACCAGCCTGGGAAACGTGGAGAAATCCTCTACAACAAAATAAGAATAGGAAACCCTAGCCAGGTGTAGTACCAGCTATGGAAGAGGCTGAAGGTGGGAGGACTGACTGCTTGAGCCAGGAGGTTGAGGCTGCAGTGAGCCCTGATGGAGCCACTGTACTCCAAACTGGGCAACAAAACAAGAAAAAAACAACTAGCATCGTCAATATTAGAACTGACCACTATCACGTGCCTCCTAATGTGAGGCAGTGAGGAGAACAGACTGACAACTTTAGTGAACTTCATGCCCTAAATGCATAGCCTAAAAAATGTAATCATGAGGAAGCATCAAACAAACCCAAATTAATAATCAGGTATGAAACTTCCACTCTTTGAAAATGTCAAAGTGAAGAAATACAAAGTAATGAGCTGAGAAACTTTATCTAGATTAAAGAAGAAATGACAAATTCAATGTGGTCCTGGAGTGGATTCTAAACAAAGAAAAACGAAGCTGTAAAAGACAATATTGGGAAAATGGACCACTGTCTTAAGGACTAATCCACAGCGCCCCTCCCTGCCCCGCCCCACCCAAAAAAAAGTCTTGTTAATGTAAAACAGTATTTCCTACAGTAATACTAGCCAACAAGACAGACTGTCTAGGGGCTTTTTGTTGGTTTGACTTGAGTTAGATCACAAGAACTCTTTACCGCCTTTATGTAACAAAGTATGAAAATAGAGCCTCCTTGTGACCCATGTGAGGTATGGTGAACAGAAGAGATCACAATAAAAGTAGTTCTGAACAATGGATGAGAATTAGTCATCTGTTAGACATTTATCTAAAATAGCCATACCTAAACATCGGTACCAAAGAAAAGTTATTCAGAAGTCTTATGGAATGGGACCTTGGCTTTAAGATTTTTAAAAGCTGAAAACCACCTACAACTTCATGACCATCTGTTCAATTTCCAGACTAACTGCACTTATCAACCAACAAAAATAAAAATATAAACTTCATAACTTACCTCCAGAGGAAAATTTATCATTTTCAACAACTTTCTTTGCTATGATATTAACTGCAAGTGTAAATGCAGAAGACACATAGTAGCTTCCGGGTTCTGAAATTATCTTAACACCAGATCCTTCAGGAAAGTAGATATCCAACAGAGGACTGATAACATGATTAACCTATGGATTTTAAATGCCACATTATGGTTTCAATATTGAATTAGATAATTCACAATATTCAGAGATTGATATTAATTTTCTAGGAAAATGGAGCAGTTCCAATTATAGACCATGAACCTTAGCTACTTTGTGCAATTATTTCCAAGCAATTAATTAGGCATACTTTCAAGTCAGTTTATTTTCTAACTATCAGAATGCACTAATTTAAAAAATATATAACTCTAATAATAACAAATACCTACTGGTATTTGTTTTTTTTTAAGTCATTTTTCTATACTTGATCACTAATAACAGAGGCAAAATTTTCAAATCATAGTTTCTAGATACTACAAAAGGAAGGTAAGAGCGGGAAGCAGAGCAGGAAGGTGAGAAACAGGTGTGACATGCCTCTGGCCTAAGTACTAAAATTGGCTGGGAGTGGTGGCTCACGCCTGTAACCCCAAAACTTTGGGAGGCTGAGGCAGGAGGATCACTTGAGGCCAGGATTTCCGAGACCAGCCTGAGCAATATAGAAAAACTCTTATTTTTCTAAATAAATAAGAATTCTATATTATTTAAAAAAAAAATAATTCTACTTGGGAGGCTGAGGTGAGAGGGCCTTTTGAGCCCAGGAGTTGGAGGCTGTAGTGAGCTATGATTGCACCACTCCACTCCAGCCTGGGCAAGACTTTATTTTTAAAAAGGTAGTAGTAAGGCCGGGTATGGTGGCTCATGCCTGTAATCTTAGCACTTTGGGAGGCCAAGCTGGGTGGATTACCTGAGGTCAGGAGTTCGAAACCACCCTGACCAAGGTGAAATGTCATCTCTTAAAAACAACATCTCTTAAAAACAACAACAACAACAACAACAACAACAACAAAACTGAGTGATTACATCAAGGTTAATGCCCCCAAAAAAGAATAATAAAATAGTCGGCCGGGCGCGGTGGCTCAAGCCTGTAATCCCAGCACTTTGGGAGGCCAAGGCGGGTGGATCACGAGGTCAAGAGATCGAGACCATCCTGGTCAACATGGTGAAACCCCGTCTCTACTAAAACTACAAAAAATTAGCTGGGCATGGTGGCGCGTGCCTGTAATCCCAGCTACTCAGGAGGCTGAGGCAGGAGAATTGCCTGAACCCAGGAGGCGGAGGTTGCGGTGAGCCGAGATCGCGCCATTGCACCCCAGCCTGGGGAACAAGAGCGAAACCCCGTCTCAAAAAAAAAAAAAAAAAAGAATAATAAAATAAAACATAGTAAAGTTTTTTAAGTCATTAAATCATTTGTGCCATTAAGTACAGAAACACAGCTGAACTAAAAAATGTTTTATGATAATTCAAAGTTAGCTAGGTCTACTGCCTGCCTGTTGTTAATTTTCTAAGAATAAAATTTTAAAGAGATATTACAGGGTTCAGTTTCTGCCATCATTAAAATCCTACTGTACACCACTTAAGTAGCAAAGAAAGCAATTATTCTGATATGTCATCTACTGAAAAGTTTACCTCTTCCAATTGAAATTCAGTTCCCGTGAATCCTCCACCAATGTCTAACATGTTCATCGTAAAGCCAATTTCTCCCTGAAGATGGAAAAAATATATATTTAAATGCTTTTCCAAATTGTAATGGATATAAGAACATTTTAAAACCTCCTCCTAGGGAGGTAAATTATCTGTTCTGATCTTTAGTACAACAAGTTCTTGTTTTTTTTGTTTGTTTGTTTGTTTGTTTTGTTTTGTTTTACTAATAGAAACAGATTGATTCAATGTTAGGTATGCAGTCTCTTTGATTTTATTTGATTCTTCTAGACTTACACAAGTCAATTACAATTTCACTCTTTTACCCATTTTAAAGTTGTGACTGTGTAGAGCTCTGAAAGCTTATGTAATAATAAAAATGAAGTGTGTGTCATTTGGATGTAGCCAGAGTAATTCACACAAGCAGAAAAAGATACTTAAAGTTTTTAACTTAATATCCTGGCCTAAACAAAATACCAAATCATTTAAAAAAGAACTTACAGCCATGTCAAACACACATCGAGCATCAGATAGAGCATGTACATATACTTGAGATTCTTTGCAAGCACTCGAAACATGAAATCTGAAACACATAGAATAATAAATTTAAAAGAGCAGAGTTTTAGAGGCATTTCCTGTAATTTTTTTCAATTGTCATTCATCATACTGACACCATTAAGTATCCACATTAACCTTACCAAATATTTAAAGTTTACCAAATAAAGCATTAGCCTCTAATTACCCAAAAGTTACAGTACCAGCTTTTAAGAAAAGGCAATGCTAACATACAAGTGTAATTCTATAAACAAATTCTTAACAATCAGTCAATCATTAGTACTGTTCCATCCTATACAATAGAGTGTACTTTTATGTATATGTGGCTTTTATGTTTATATAGTGAAGTAACAAGCAGTACCAATCAAACTGTATCACATTCAGTTGAGCATAAAATTGAACATTCAATTTTACTCAACCAAATACAAAATGTGTCTCTTGTGAAATAAATACAAATGAATATTAATCAAGCTAACAGTATCACTATTGTTCACTAGTATTACTAGTGATAAAATTTCAGAATAGAGTACCTCCTGATTGTGGCAGTGGTTACACAAATGTTAAAATCCATAGAACTGAACACTGTAAAGTTTCAGAAAAATGAAAAAGTCAAACTTTCTTTTTTCCCTTTATTCAAGATAGTACTTCATTAATTTTTATGTTAACTTAAAAAATTAAAACAGTTGAAATATGAACAAAACTCTCGAATATGTCAATACTGTCACTTAAGGTAGATTAAAACTAGACTGACATGGAATTTTATCTATTGTGTAGGGCACAGCATGCTCCAATTCTTTGTTTTGAAGTGCCCCAGAGGAATTAAAGGAGATGAAAGTCTTCAGATAGAAAACAAAATAGAATGATACCCACAAATTAGAAGTTAAATGATACTATTTTCCTAAGAATTCTAGCAAACTCCCTCCCATCCAATTTAAAAGGTGGCAATTTAAGTTACTCTGCACTAAACTAATCAAATTATTTACTATTCTTTTTAATGGGGAGAGGGACATATAGTTGCAAAACATGTGTGTTAAAAAAGAAAAATTAAATCTTAGATTTCAGGCAAATAAGATATTAAATCAACCAGAAAGGCTATCACTGTAAATGTTCACAGCTTTAAAGTGTAGAACAAATACTCACTTAACCCCAATTACTTGGACATCAAGTTCCTTAGCACATTCCAAGAGATGCCTACAGTTCTTCAGGGTAGTGCCAAACTTCATGTTACCCTCTTCACCTCCAATATTATCTTCTGTTGCAATATGTAGTAAGACCCTAAGAGAAGGGGAGATGATTGGGGCAGAGTTGGTTTACATCATCATCAGCACATGTGAAGCCTGAAGATTGTAGGAAGTATGTTGATTATGTTGCCAGTGCTCCCAAATCCAGCGACGGATGAATCAAGTGAACCTAATGAAAAACAATCCTGTATAGAGAAAAAACTAGCAATTAGGGCCTAAGGCATGAAGCTTACAAGGATGGGATTTTGGAAAATGCAGCAAGTTAAGACTCTGTTGTGGCATCAAGAGTCGGTTGGGCTCTGAAATGAAAGATGACATTACTTTCAAATGAAGTCCATCAGTCCATAAAGCCACCTAGAAAGACTAAATTGAATAGCAATGCCATCATTGTCTTTCAATAAGAATATCAGGGCTTTAAATGTCTTCAAACTTCTTTGATTGTGCTAACTAAACGTCCACTGCTTACTGCAAACATTCTTCCTACTAACACTGCTAAATCCCAGCTGGTTTCTAACTGGAGAAAATTAGAAAGTTTCTTTTAAAATTTTTTAAATTATTTTTATTTTTTGAGACGGGAGTCCGGCTCTGTCACCCAGGTCGCAGTGCAGTGGCATAATTTCGGCTCACTGCAACCCTGGACTCAAGCAATTTCTCCTGCCTCAGCCTCTTGAGCAGCTGGGATTACAGGCACAAGCCACCATGCCCAGCTAATTTTTGTATTTTTAGTGGAGACAGGGTTTCCCCATTTTGGCCAGGCTGCTCTCAAACTCCTGACCTCAAGTGATCTATCTGCCTTGGCCTCCCAAAGTGCTGGGATTACAGGTGTGAGCCACTGCACCCAACCTAGAAAGCTTTTTTTTTTTTTTTTTTAAATTATCTTATGTGTTTAAACAGCAGCCGTCTAGTCTACTGATTCAAATCTACTTGGTATTTCCTTCCAAACCATGACAACCAAGGCAAGATGATCAAGACTGATAAAATTTCTCTATTTTCAGGAGCTGAGCAAATTACAAACTACTAGAAGTTCCAAATTAACAAATTCTTTCTGTATAGCTGTTTTCCCACGGATGTCTTAATTACATAAACTAAGAAGGTTAATAATGTGACCATGAAAATATAGCTATGGCCCTAATTTGATAATCAGAGGGCAAGACTGATAAAAGCAAAAATTATTCTAAGGTTAGAATCAGCTCCACCAAGAATGTACCAGTCCCCAGTCTAACATACTAAACATCAAAAATTACAGCTTGTCTTCACAGGATCACAGAACAAGATTTTTTAGAAAAACAAGTGGTTCCCTAAAATTTTCCAAACAAGGCTTTTATCCACAAAGAGTTTCCAAAGTAATCAATGCTGTCAGGATACCTTAAGTACACCACCGAATCAGTACAAAAATTATGAACGTACAAAAAAAATACAGATAGGATACATTTTCAGAAACATACATAACTCATTAAAAAAGCCAACAACTGCATAATTCAATATGGTTTTAGTATATTCTTAAGTCCTCTTGACATACCACTTTGTGAAAACATAAATCTTGGCCTTAAAACCTTTTGCTTTTAAAAAAGCAAACCTTTTTATTTTTTGAGGGAGTCTTGCTCTGTTGCCCAGGCTGGAGTGCAATGGCACAATTTTGGCTTACTGCAGACTCTGACTCCTGGGTTCAAGGGATTCTCCTGCCTCAGTTTCCCAAGTAGCTGGGATTACAGGCACAGGCCACCCTGACCTCAAATGATACAACCTCCTCGGCCTTCTACAGTGTTGGGATTATAGGTGTGAGGTGCGGCACCCAGCCTTAAAAAAGTATTAACTTTTTAAATTAAAAAAAATTCCCTGGATGCATGAAAATGCAAGTAAAAAAACTAAATTCAGGTTCAAAAAGAAAAGTATAAGCCTTAAAAACAAAACCCCCCAAATCTATAGACTAGGCATCTTAAGACACTGTCAGTAAATACAAGCATTCAGGAACTATGGCCTAGGGTAGATTAAAACCTCAGCTAAACAGAGAAAAAAAGCTGACCAAAATATATCCTGTTTGTAACACATTTTCAAACTAAGTTATTGCAATAATGAAAATATAGCCATGGCCCTAATTTGATTATCACACCAATCAACTATCAAGGATTCCTTTAAGATTACAAGATCATATCCCCAAACTGCCATGCCATTTTTTTTTTTTTTTTTGTTTTGAGATGGAGTTTCGCTTGTTGCCCAGGCTGGATGGAGTGCAATGGCATAATCTTGGCTCACTGCAACCTTTACCTCCTGGGTTCAAGCGATTCTCCTGTCTCAGCCTCCCGAGTAGCTGAGATTACAGGTATGCTCCACAATGCCTGGCTAATTTACATATTTTTAGTAGAAATGAGGTTTCACCATGTTGGTCAGGCTAGTCTGGAACTCCTGACCGCAGGCAATCCCCCTGCCTTGGCCTCCAAAAGTGCTGGGATTACAGGCACGAGCCACTGTGCCCAGCCCCTTATTTTTAATCCCAATTCCACATGAAGGGTCATAAGTAGAGAGCCAATAAAACGCTACTAGGGTTTCCCATAGAGGACCTTTTAAATAAGTTATAAATATGGTACACACTATTGCCCTACTACAAATGCTCCTTCCCAGACAAAAGACAGACCCAATCCTCTAAGTGGTAAGATAACATTTTCAAGTACTTAGCTTTATACTTACTTGGCATTTGGGTGATTACGTGCAATTTTCTTCAATTCAATTTCATTGTCACATGTCATGATATTCACTCCAACTTTTGCTGCATACTTTATCTGAGACACTTGCTTGCAAGGACTTATGTAAATAATATTTTCTGGAGATACACCCAACTCTTGCACTAAAGCCATTTCAGTCTGTGAAAACGAGGTTAAATTAAGAATACATAATGCCACAGTTCATATTCTGGTAATGTTTCCTCTACTACTCTATTAATCCCACCACCCCAGCCCTTTTAAAGCCAGAGTCTCACTCTGTCTCCCAGGCTAAAGTGCAGTGGCACAATCACAGCTCAATGCAGCCTCCATCTCCTGAGGTGCTCAAGTGATCCTCCTACCTCAGCCTCCCAAAGTGCTACGAATACAGGTATGAGTCACCATGCCTGGCCAAACTAATTTTTAAATTTAAGGCATATGCCTGTAGTCCCAGCTACTCAGGAGGCTGAGGCGGAAGAATCGCTTGAACTTGGAAGGTGGAGGTTGTGGTGAACCGAGATGGCACCATTGCACTCCAGCCTGGCAACAAAGCAAGACTCCGTCTCAAAAAATAAACAGTGAGATGAGGTCTCACTTTGTTGCCCAGGCTGGTCCTGAACTCCTGGCTCAAGCAACTCTCACCTCAGCCTCTCAAAGTGGTGGAATTACAGGTGTTGGCCATCGTTCCTGGCCTAAAAATTGTTAAAAAGAAGCACCAGAGAAATCTGAGTTTAGATATTTGCTGTAGTAACTAGCAGTTTGGTCTAGCAGTAGCTCTTGACTAAGAAGGAGATACAAATTAAAAGTTTTCAATTAATAAAGATACAATGTTTCAAAGACTCATCACACAGAAACTTCCCTTTCACTGGTGCACTTGAAAAGCTTGTAATTTTTCAACAGGAGGCTGTGTATTTAAACAATTATTTTAAAACTCCATCCAAAAAGTCAAACTTCTTTGCATTTGTTCTTCAACTGCTGTAGCTACAATGTTAAATTATTAAATGTTTCCGTTTCATAAAAAAAAAAAACAAAAAACATAAAGCACTTACTTTACTGGAACAAGCAAATCCAGTTCCAAGAGCTGCCAAAATCTCAAGTACGGCTGGAGCAGAGTTGCACTTCACTGTGTAGAATGGCTTTATCTGAGCCACTACATTCTGCCACTGACTGTGTTTCTTCACAATCTTTCCAAGATCTCCCACAAAAAATGCCTTTTTCCCTGTCTATTATGGTTATGAAAAAAAGACAAACATAAACAAAAAAACCATTGAAAGTCAAGTATCAAAACAGGAAAGAATACCTCTTTTCCTCCACAAAAACATGGGCCAAGACATATATTTACATATAGTAGTACATTTAAAGCTTGTTAAGTGTGATTTAACTAGATTTAGTAAAAATTAAGAGACTCTAAACACATTTGTTCTTTTTTTTATTATTATTTTTATTTTAAAGACGAGGTTTCACCATGTTGGTCAGGCTGGTCTTGAACTCCCTTCCTCAGGTGATCTGCCCGCCTTAGCCTCCAAAGCGCTTGGATTACAGGCGTGAGCCACCATGCCCGGCTGTTCTTTCTTATATTTGATTACTTTTATTGTGCTACACTAGCACAGTAATTATCAGTTGCAGTGACAGAAGTCAGAGTAAACTCCCTTGATTTTACTTTTTGATAGCTGAAGGAAGGAAACCAATTTTCTCACATGCTTCCCCCACTGTTTAAAATACTTTGGCAGTTCAGGATGCAATTTCCTAATCACCATTAAAACTGCACCTTAAGACAACATGGTAAACCTCTTATTTTATTACTTTTTTCAGAGTCGAGTGGTCACTGTAGCCCAGGCTGGAAGGCAGTGGTGCAATCATAGCTTACTACAGCCTCCAACTCCTGGAGCTCAAGCAATCCTCCCACCTTGGCCTTCCAAAATGCTGGGATTAAAGGTGTGAGCCACCATGCCCGACCAGGAAACTGTTTTTAAAAAGTCCGGGTTAGTTTGCACATGGAGATGTCAAAATTAGATTTTAAAAGTATGAAAGTCTACCGAATATCAGATAAGCCTAAATAAGAATAATTTTCTTACAGTTGTGGCTATTCTAGGACTAGAGCGATGACTTATGCATGTTGAACAAAACTTATATTACTCAGTGTTAGATGGCAGGCAAGGAAATCTTACTTAGGACATACAATATCCAAATACTGTTTGAGAAGCCATGAGGGCAATTTTTTGTTGTCAACTCTTTAATTCACAGTATTGAAATTCTCCATTATTGGAATATAGTGCCCAATTGATATAAATGCAAATTATATGTTATGTGCAACAGAATTTTAACAGTTGTATTAAGTTATCCATCCTCACAAGACCTGATATCTGTAGTATTATGGAGACACAAAGTTTGTACTTAACTTGATGGGGGAAAAAAGGTATTTATGGGTACCACCAAGAGAAATGGGATGAAACAACAAGGTATTCAGCTTCTTTTCTTATCCTAGGCATGATGTGAGTCTGGATCAGCAGGGAATGAAAAACAAATTTAGAGAGCAGGGAAGCCTTGTATTTAAATTAAGCAAGCTATGGCAAACAAGAGGACAACGAAAAGAGAGATAGGAGGTCACTATAAGGACACCTGCAAAGACTATAAATAATGGGAATGGAGGAGGTTCCCCTTGTATTCATCAAGGACATTATGGAGGCAAGACCAAGGTTAAGTGAGAGAGGACAAACAAAAGATGGACTGAATGACAGAAAAATATCACCCCAGAGCCAGGAGAGAATAGGGTTGAGGACTAATCCTCACTGAATGTTACTAATGTGGGACAATTTAGATGTGGAACAAGAATGGATGAAAGGAATATTTCAAAGATTATCTGACCCCTGAAAAGTGTTACAAAAAGTCAAATGAATAAAGTTAAGTGACTAAGAGATAGATCATCAAAATTTGACAAGGAGCTTCCCAGTGGCAATTAACTGAAGAATGGCTTGGCAGAAATTGGTTGGCCAATATGACAAATTTCATGACTAATACGTCAAGTTTCAAGAGGCTGAATGGCAGAGGAAGACAAAGAGATTTTTGGATGGATGAGGGGAAGATGAACATGCCTGTAGAATGAAGGTCAAGAGAAGGAGAGATGATTTTTGGATATTCAATTACTGAACACCAGTAACATGAAAACAATTCTCTAACAAGCTTGGGGGAATATAAAGATTTTCTCCAATAAAGAAAGAAATTATATCGGTTAAGTCTAATATGAAAAAAAAAATGACTAGGCTGGACATGGTGGCTCACACCTGCAATCTCAGCACTTTGGGAGGCCAAGACAGGTAGATCACCTGAGGTCAGGAGTTCAAGACCAGCCTAGCCAACATGGTGAAACTCTGTCTCCACTAAAAATACAAACATTAGCCAGGCCTAACGGCAGGCACCTATAACCCCAGCTACTCGGGAGGCTGAGGCACGAGAATTGCTTGAACCAGGGAGGCTGAGGTTGCAGTGAGCTGAGATTGCACCACTGCGCTCCAGCCTGGGCAACAAGAGCAAAATTTCATCAATAAAAATGAGAAAAGGCTGGGCGCGGTGGCTCTCGCCTATAATCCCAGCACTCTGGGAGGCAGAGGCGGGTGGATCACGAGGTCAAGAGGTCGAGACCAACCTGGTCAACATGGTGAAACTCTGTCTCTACTAAAAATACAAAAAATTAGCTGGGCACAGTGGCGCGTGCCTGTAATCCCAGCTACTCAGGAGGCTGAGGCAGGAGAATTGCCTGAACCCAGGAGGCAGAGGTTGCGGTGAGCCGAGATTGCGCCATTGCACTCCAGCCTGGGTACCAAGAGTGAAACTCCGTCTCGGGGGGGGGGAAGGGAAAAAAACAAAACCTTAAGTAGCATTGAGTATATGTTTCTGTAGAAGTTGACTCTTAGAGTAGTAGAGAATAAGCATTCAGTATAAATTATCAAATTTTCAATGAATGTACACAGCCAAGATTATCTGAAAGTCAACTTACACCTACTTAAGAATACAATTAAGACCAGGCCCAGCGGCTGCCGCCTGTAATCCCAGCACTTTGGGAGGCCAAGGCAGGCAGATCACAAGGTCAGGAGTTCGAGACCAGAATGGCCAACATGGCAAAACCTGTCTCTACTAAAAATACAATTAGCCGGGTGTGGTGGTGGGCACCTGTAATCCCGGCTACTGGGGAGGCTGAGGCAGGGGAAATCGCTTGAACCCGGGAGATGGAGGTTTCAGTAAGCCAAGACTTTGCCACTTCACTCCAGCCTGGGTGACAGAGCAAGACTCCGTCTCTGGTTGGGGGAGTGGAATACAAAAATTGGCCAGGCGTGGTGGTATGCGCCTGTAATTCTAGCTACTCAGGAGGCTGAGGCAGGAGAATTGCTTGAGCTCAGGAGGCGAGGGTTGCATGTGAGCCAAGATCGCGCCACTGCATTCCAGCTTGGATGGCACAGTGAGACTTGTCTCCAAAAAAGAAAACAAATTGAGAAAAATGAGTAACAAGGCATGTACTGATTAGAAGGTTGGCTGGCATCACATCAACAGAATAAACAGAACACACGTGAGTGCCAGAGGCTAAAAGACATAGCAGGGAAAGGGCCATAGGGAAGATTTTTAAATGTGTACGAGAAAGAAAAATGGATCACTAAGGGGAATGGGTGTTGGGGAGGAAGGTCAAATTAAATCAACCTGGATAAGTTAACACCTGAACTAACTACTTTTGATCAATTACCATCCTGGAAATTAAAAAGCACTAACGTTTTAGAGTTTAGAAAATGACAAACACTGTATTTGAGAAATGGCACTCACCAGGGTATGTTCATAAACATAGTTATCAATAACATTTCCAAGGTTTGTTCCTTCATCCAACAGGCCAACGGAGTAGTTTGCATCATCAATAAATCCTTTCATCTCAGCCGTATTCCACAAAGCCGAAAGTCATAAACCAGGAAAAACAAGAGACGGGCCGCCAAGCCTATGTCTGGGTCCTTAGAATATGCAACAAACTGTCAAAATAGAAGTTATATAAAAGTCTGTATTATTTCAATAGACAATGTATAAAAGTGTTTTAAGTGCCTAATTTAGTGAGAAATGTATGCAGTCATTTAACAATTTCAGAAACACCTGATTATTATCCTTTAACACCCATTTAAAAAAGCAAATACATTAATGTTTTATGCATTTATCCAAAAAGGTCAATATAATTTGAAGGAGTGAGTCACATATATACACAATACAATACAAGCCTATATTATCACCTTATTTACAGAGCTGCAGACCCAATCTGTATTATATTATTTTGTGCTCCTATAACACATAATTGCACCCATTTTAAAAGTAAAGAAAGCTAGTGAAATATCTGCAGCCAAGAAATCAAAATACCAGTCTAAACTTTTAATATACTGTCAGCCACATTAACAGCACTGCCAGGTAATCGCAGAAATTCCTGGATGCGCATGGTGGCATGCCTGCACCATGCCTGCAATCCCAGCACTTTTGGAGGCCCAGGCTGGACTGCTTGAGTCCAGGAGTTTGAGACCAACCTGAAAAACGCAGCATGCCCCTGTCTTTCCTAAAAAAGTTCCCAAGTAAATAAAAGCAATAAAAGTGGGTGAGGGACAACAACAACAAAAAAAAATTTTTTTAAAAAAAACAGATGAGGGTGGAGGACGGCTTTAGAGAACAATCTGAATCTTTGATGTATAGACTGCCTAGGCCTTACCTCAAGCTAAAATAGTACTAGCTACATCAAGTTAGCAATGTTATGAGGTAAGTTGCTTTGGTGAAATCACTGGACTAGGAGTCAGAAGACCTGGTCCTGGCTGCATAATTTCCTAGTATCTACACATCAATTTCTCTAAACCTCAGTTAACTATCTTATTTCTTCAATAGGTTGTCGGAAAAAAAAAAAAAAAAAAAAAACACCCATAAAGCATATGAATTAAAAACATCTGTTTATGTGATGGCTAGATAGAATAGAGCTAAAATTAAGTTGTCGGTTATCAGAAATGGAAAAACAACCTAATTAGAAACTAGGCTTATAAGCTAGGTATCTGTACATCCTAAGCCAGTTACTAAGAAATCTGATTTTAAAAAAAGCTTTAAGCTAAATTCTAACCCTCTTCAATGAAATCAGTAAAATAAACCTGCCCACTCCCACAGAGCACTCATTCTCCTGGGGCAGCACATAGTGACATATAGGTTTATCTTCTTTGTTGAACTTCACTGGTACTTAGGTTACTTTAGGAAATAACTTCGACATAAATGAGATAAAACAAGTCCACCAGACAGAATACTACTATCTGGTACTAACTTCTGATTGCCACATTAATAATGGGCATAGTCCAGCTGTCTTGGCAGCCTATTTTAAAACTTGCACAGCCTTTCCTGTGTCCTTGATTCCTCCCACCACCCCCTTTCACCCTCTCCAATGCCCCAAGCTAGAGTTCACCCTTGGTCGATGGCCACTGTCCTCAAAGTATACTCCATTTCAACGGCTCTTAAAAGTGTTAGCATTTTGGCTGCCAAAAAAACAGTCCTTAATAAGCTGTATTAGTCAAATTTCATGAAATACAAATGCTCAGTTTTAACTTTTAAAATACTAACAGCTTCGTTTCCAATAAGCCAACTGCGTTCAGTTCAACTCATCGGACATCTTTCATGCTATAGCACGGACTGAAAAGTTGAGGATGTTTTTATCAAGTTAATTGAGGCCTATCTGAATAGATCTAATATTTATGCAATGAAGTCAAATCACAGTCTGCACATCCTCAAAAGGTTGCTGTAACAGGACTGCTGTAAATCTGTGCCCAGAAAACAGACATTTTAGGCTGAGAATACACATGTATTTTAAGCAATTTAAAACACCAATTTTTGGGGGATAGTCAGCTGGGCACTAAGAACAATAAAAAACATAAAGGTCACTCATTTAAATAGGTAAATATAAGAAAGTAAGGTAGAAACTTCCTGTTAGGTTTGGCATCACTACCCTTTTTGGCATAGCAGCCAATTTTCATTATTCTACTATTAATAGATATAAAATACATTGAAATGGAAAAAAAAAAGTAAATTGTGTCCTCACTTTATGTCAATAGCTTCTTGCAAACTGTGTCTTTTAAGCAAATGAGGTAAAACAAAACCATTTTTTCTTGACATTATAATGAAATGTTATTTGAGGACTTGTTGTATGTCTTTTTGCTTAAAGTAGCAGTTTCCAAGAACTAATTGACTAAGTCTAACATATATGTAGTATTTGGTATTTACTTGAAAACCTCTGGTTATTGATTATAGACCATCACAGGCAACTGCTGCCAAATACAGAAGGTTTAGCTTTCACAGACAGGATATAAGATAAGGCTCCATTTCCTAGCCACAGCATTCTTAGGAAGAGCAATTTTCCCGTAACATTCAGGATCCTCAGTACTTATAAAAACATCAGGCCCACTGTATCAAGTCTTACTTGCTGACTACCTACATTCTTCAGAGCTTCTTCCATAGTAGTATGATGATATGGATAAAGATTTTTTTTTTCTCAAATATTTTCAAACCATGTAATTTCATAGGTTCAACTCTTACTGCCTGCTAAGCTAGCTTAAATCTAATAGCAAACCTATTTATAGCAGTCTCCCAGCTGTTCTAAGTATTTCATCTATTCAATATTAATTATCTTAACCCTTAACACCACAATGACAGCATTATCCCCATTTATATACTGAGGAATGGAATAATTAAGTAGGTTAGCTCTAGAGACACTAACGATCAAGCCACGTTTAAAACAAGATGAAAACTCTGCTTCCCTAGACCCCATCCCTGTTAAAACATAGGACTCCTTTTTTGGAAATCCAACACAGTTTTAAGTCTCTTTAAAAGAACTTTATCATCTCCACATAATCAACCCGTTTCGGACACATGAATAACTCACTCATACTTGAAAAATGCTAAGTTTATTCACACTGGTATAAAAACATTACCATGCCTACTCAAAGCCTTTCTTCATATGATGTCCCTTTTGCAGCAAATCCCCAACTCCACCCCAGGCAACCACTGACCAGCTTCTTGTCACCATAAATTAGACTTTTTAAAATAAAAGCTAAATAATTGTAAACATCAACTGAAGGCTAAACCAAAACAGCTAACACATATAGTGGCATTATCAATATAAATATAGTGAAAAACATGACCTCCTCTAAAGGAAAGATACAATGCTTGTGGACTTGGTTATTCATCTTTGAAATGGAACTGTCACTTCAGAAGTAACAGCAGAATTGTTAACCAAGTCCCAGCTGAGTGACAAAATCATTCTGTTGGAAAAATGAAATAAAATTCATTTGCTATACTGGTAGTACTTGACAAAATGGATTAAGGATCACCTGAATCCACAAATGCAGTATATTAACATTTGTTTTCCTTCATTATACAGAAAACTATAATAAAATAGTTGACCGAACACAATACTTTGGAAGCTGAGGCGGGAGGATTTTATGAGGCCAGAAGTTTGAGATCAGTCTGAGCAACACAGGGAGACTCCATTTCTAAAAGAAAAAACATAACAAAAACCAATACTAATAAAGCTCTAAGGGAGGTTTATTTCCTTTGATGTCCTCTTGAAGGCTTTGGGATTGCTGTAAATTCCTAGCCCAGAGTAGGTACTCTGAAACAAATGAACAAAAGAATTCACAACAAAGAGTGGGGAGTTCTTAAACTTGGCGGTGTTGGTAATGAAATCCCTGGAAGTGTAGTGAAAAAGTAGGTCTATTTTTCCTTTTTTTTCTTTTTTTTTGAGTAAAGGTGTCACTCTGTCACCCAGAGTGGAGTGCAGTGGCATGATCACAGCCCACTGAAGTCTCAACCTGCTTAGGCGATCCTCCCACAACAGCCTTCAGTCCTACCTCAGTTCAGTCAGTCCCTGTAGCTGGGACTACTGTCGCATGCCACCATGTCCAACTAATTTTTTTTATTTTCCTTGATATGCAAGCAATCCAGATGTACAGTCATGTGTTGCAAAACAATGTTGACAAAGACAGATCAAATGTATGAAAGTGGTACCATAATACCATATTTTTACTGTGACTTTTCTATGTTTAGATATACATAAATACCACCGTGTTACTATTGTCTACAGTATTCAGTACAGTAACTCACTATACAGGATGGTAGCCTAGGAGCAGTAAGCTATACCATACAGCCTGGGTGTGTTGTAGTCTGTACTATCTAGGTTTCTGTACATACATTATGATGCTCAAACAACTACAATGTCACCTAATGACACATTTCTCAGGATGTATCTGTCATTAAGCTACAGATGCCTGTGAATGCAAAGCTCAACTATCAGCTACTGTTAAAGACTAAAAGGCCTGTAGGACTGGCCGTTCCAAAGAACCAATGAAAAGTAAAAAAATTTAAAAAAAGACTAAATGCCAAGAAAAAGCCAATTCCCTCAAAAGAATCTGTAAAACACAAACACCTTAAACAACAGGTGTTTTTTTCCTCTTTGTGGACAATAGGGTCTCACTACATTGGCCAGGCTAGTCTCTAATTCTTGGGCTCAAGCTATCTTCCTGCCTCTGCCTCTCTAAGTGCTGATACTACCAGTATGAGCCACTATGCCTGGGGTTAAATTTTCCAATACATCTTGAGGCAACAAACTCTTTGTCCCAATAAAATGCCACTTGGAAGCCCAATATTTCCAAAAATTGAAAAGGGATAAGTAGGCAGGTAAGGTAGGCTGCTCAAGTCTTTCCTATATGTTGTGCCCAATCTCAATGAAAGAGTCCTAAAAAAGCAACTCAAATCATACCTCTGGGATCACTGCTTGCAGTTTTCTTAATATATTAGCAAAAATAGTTTACAGTTCCATTGTTACAAAAAGAAAGGTTTATGTTCCGACATTTATGTCTTACTGAAAGCATTAAGTGAAGAAATATTTTGCTAAAATGTTTCAGGGGGTATTAAAGTTAATTGGCAACAATATGTTAAACCAAGAGTCATAGACACAGCATGTTCTAGGATGCAAGCATGAAAGTTAAGTGTGCATGCGTCAGGGGTGAGCAGTTTATACCTTACACCAGATTCACTAAGTTAATCTACCTCAATCTTAAACACCACAGGGGGCAGGACACGGTGGCTCACGCCTGCAATCCCAGCACTCTGAGAGGCTGAGGCAGGCGAATCACGAGGTCAAGAGATCAGGACCCATCCTGGCCAATATGATGAAACTCCATATCTACTAAAAATACAAAAATTAGCTGGGCGTGGTGGAGCACGCCGGTAGACCCAGCTACTCCAAAGGCTGAGGCAGGGGAATCACTTGAACCCGGGAGGCGGAGGTTACAGTGAGCCAACATAGTGCTACTGCACTCCAGTCTGGACAACAGGGCGAGATCCGTGTCAAAAAAACAAACACCACATGCTACTGCACTCCAGTCTGGACAACAGATCGAGATCCGTGTCAAAAAAACAAAACAGCACAGCACTCTTTCCAGGACATCTCCATACTCTCCACTAAGAATGCGGACTCAAACCCAGGTGATACACCAAACATCCTCCCTAAAATTCTGGGTGAAAATAATTCCCAGAAGAAACTGTACCACTCTGGCTTACATATCAGAAACAGGACTATTTACTGGCTCCAACATATTCTGGTGCTATTGGACCTTGAATTAGTTAAACTTGAAAAAAAAAAATCTTCTCCATGTAAATCTTAGTTTCTCTTCATTAGAAGTGAACAGCAAATCTTTTTTCTTTTTTTGGGATGGAGCTTCACTCCATCATCCAGGCTGGAATGCAGTGGTGTGATATCGGCTCACTGCAACCTCTGCCTCTTGGGTTCAAGTGATTCCCCTGCCTCAGCTTTCCAAGTAGTTGGGACTACAGGTGTCCGCCACCAGGCCCATCTTTTTCTTTTTTTGTATTTTTAGTAGAGACGGGGTTTCACTATGTTGGCCAGGCTGGTCTCAAACTCCTGACCGGATGATCTGCCTGCCTTGGCCTCCCAAAGTGCTGGGATTATAGGCGTGAGCCACCGTGCCTGGCCAGCAAATCTGTTTTTAATAAAAGCTCTGATGTCTAGTAATATCAACAGACACTAGAAAGTATTCTCTACTCACAAGCACTTTTAAGCTATTTTCAACCACCTTGTTAACATACAGTTGAGAAAGCTCAGGTTACTTTACACTAATACAGTAGCTATAACCACAACACTATTTCTATTAATAATTTCCTCTTAGACTCATAACTGAGAAGAAAAAATATGTAACATTCCTTATTCACACCTTCATATTGGTGTTTTTGTTAATACATTTTCCATGAAGAGCTGCCAAAAGAAACAAAAGGCTCCAAAGAACCACACACTGCTCCCTGGAGCCTTTCATGAGGCCGCTGAGTCCTCATGTTCATCGAGAGGGTAGCTCCAAGAGTAGTGGCTGCGGCAGCTGGGCACTTGCCTTGTTACACACCTGCTACAAAGGCTTCTACAGTTGATTGTACTTCAGAAGAAACTGATACATCTCTCAAATAATCACAAGATAATTCTGGCAGCAACAGCCCACTTGACACCAAGCTGGATGAATATGAGTCTTGGATTTCTGAAGTGAAGACCTCCCTGGAAGTAGAACAGGGAGAGCTGAAAGGTTGAGAATACTGTTTCAGAGATACCTAAGCAGGAAACCCAACCTTAATACATCAATTATTTTTCTAAAAGGATTTTTACTCATTAAAAATGAGAAATGATATTCTGAAATTTACACTATTACTGTTACTCTGAAGATGCCTAAGCACAGTTCTACTTTTATTTTTACATAGGCATTTGATGATTTGGCACTCAGTTCACAGCTTTAAAAATACACAATGTTGTTTAAGTCCCCTCTGAGTTCTACCTACAACAGAAAATAACGTTACTTACCGCACAGAATACCTTTAAAAGTAATTGACTAGAAGAGCACTAGAAGATTCTAAACAATGATTCTGGTACTATAGATGTGAAGCCTCTAGGTTTGAATCACTATGAAAGAGTGAAGCTACATACTGAAATTGGAAGAAAATCCCTATAAATTGGGTGATCGTAAGATCGGATAAACTTCTGCTACCCTGAACCCCAAAATAAGTGACAGACAGTAACAACAGCCTACATCGAGTACTCCGAGTAATCAAGGACAAGGCTTGCTTCAATAAGAAAGCCAGTAATCACAATGCATACCCCTAAAATTACTTTTCAGGTGATAAGGTTGCAAGAAACTAAGTAAACCTACAGGAAGAAAACTAAAGGTGACTAAGTAATTGTTTTAAAGGAGAAAAACAAGAATGAATAGAAAATATGTAAGGGGGTGAAAAATCCTAAAGGGAGCACGCCTAACAGGCTAAGTCTGATAGTGCTTGTGTAAAGACTGCCTCACTATAAATATTAAAATGTAGCTTGATGAGAAAACAAAATACATAATTCTCACAGTAATATTACTTTCGCATATGGAATTAACACAATTAGACTCCCTTAAAAATGTTGTCTTGACTATTAAATGTGTATTTTCTGCAGAAAATTTGTGTGTACTAAAGCGTGTGTTTATCTGCACACAAGTGAAATATTTACATCCCTTTTGGCAATTTAATAACATTAAAGATGACTATTACAATACAACATCAAGTACACAATCATATTAATTTCAAGTTTTCTAGCTTTCCTGGTTTCAATCAAGCATAGGGAATAATCCTTTAAAGAGACACACTATTTTGGTCACCTTAGGGCAGAGCTCACTGCCTGCTTATCCCCTACCTACCCAAGGAAAACATAGTAATACATGTGCAATACAGTAATTACAAAGAAGACCAGGTTAAGTAGGTTATTAAGAAATAACATTTGGCCAGGTGCAGTGGCTCACACCTGAAATCCCAGCACTTTGGGAGGCCAAAGTGGGTGGATCACCTGGGGTCAGGAGTTCAAGACCAGCCTGTCTAACAAGGTGAAACTCCATTTCTACTGAAAATACACAAAATTAGCTGGGCTTGGTGGTGTGCACCTGTAATCCCAGCTACTCGGATGACTGCGGCAGGAGAACTGATTGAACCTGGGAGGCAGAGATTACAGTGAGCCGAGATCACACCATTGTAGTCCAGCTTGGGCAACAAGAGTAAAACTCCACCTCAAAAAACCAAAATAAGTTGCAATACCTCAGAGGCCCCTGTACATCTCTCCCAGGTGGTGATGGATACATATCCCTTAAAATTTGTTCAGATCGTCTCCAATCATCATTCCTTTGTTACTTAATTTTTAAATTCTCTATGTGACCCCAAAACTGTGTTGGGCAGTGTGGTACTTTACATTCCACTGACTGGCAGTTCAAGTAGCACATAGTCTAGAACACATACCTGGGACTGGAACTGCTAGGCTGTTAATGCCAAACAGTTTTCAAGTCTTCTGCTCATTTTCTTGTTTTTGCCTTTTATTTATCTGCAGGAGCTCTTTATGAATTTAGGATAGCAAACCTCTCATTAGGAAGATTATCTGTGGGGGGGGGGGGGATTTTTTTTTTGTCGTAGTTTCCATGTTGAACATACCAGAGTAACACCATCCTACCTTTGGTCATGCCAAATATAGCACATTCATGCTGAACCTGAGCTAAGAAGATACCATACTTGTTTAGGACCACTTTGCAAACTGGACATCAAGGGATCCTTTCAGTAAAGATCAAGAAGTAGATAAAAAGTAATCTGGGCTGGGCGCAGTGGCTCAGGCCTGTAATCCCAGCACTTTGGGAGGCTGAGGTGGGCGGATCACAAGGTCAAGAGATCGAGACCATCCTGACCAACATGGTGAAACCCTGTCTCTATTAAAAATACAAAAATTAGCTGGGCATGGTGGCGCGCGCCCATAGTCCTAGCTACACGGGAGGCTGAGGCAAGAGAATTGCTTGAACCCGGGAGGCGGAGGTTGCAGTGAGCCGAGATCAAGCCATTGCACTCCAGCCTGGCACTAGGTGAAGGAGCAAGACTCTGTCTCAGGGAAAAAAAAAAAAAAAAAAAAAAGTAATCTAAGTCTGCTGGGCCCGTTGTCCCATGCCTGTAATCCCAGCACTTTGGGAGGACGAGGTGGGCGGATTTCCTCAGGTTGGGAGATTGAGACCAGCCTGACCAACATGGAGAAACCCCATCTCTACTAAAAATACAAAATTAGCCGGGCATGGTGGCGTGTGCTATTCTGGAGGCTGAGGCAGGAAAATCGCTTGAACCTGGGAGGCAGAGGTTGCGGTGAGCCGAGATTGCGCCATTGCACTCTAGCCTAGGCAACAACAGCACTCTGTCTCAAAAAAAAAAAAAAAAGTTATTTGAAGTCAACATAAAGCTCATACATTGCCAGGCACAGTGGCTCACACCTGTAATCCCAGCACTTTGGGAGACCAAGGAGGGCAGATCACATGAGGTCAGGAGACCAGCCTGACCAACGTGGCAAAACTCTGTCTCTACTAAAAATACAAAATTAGCCAGGCATGGTTGCCAGTGCCTGTAATCCCAGCTGTTTGGGAAGCTGAAGCAGGGAGAATTGCTTGAACCTGGGAGGCGGAGGTTGCACTGCACCAAGATGGCACCGCTGCACTCCAGCCTGGGCAACAGAGTGAGACTCCATCTCAAAACAAAAAATGGGTGGGTGGTGGGGCTAAAATTAATTTTGGTCTATATGAGCAGTCACTGTAAGGAGCTGTATCCTAAGAATATGCTAAGCAACTAAAGAATTCAACTAGAGTATAAAACCAAAAAGCCGTTACAATTAAGTTTTTCTAAGACATATCTATAGAGAAAGAACAAAGCATGTGTGACTTATACAGTTCTCATTAATGTATGTTTTAAGATTATTATAGCTAATGCTACTCTATTATCCTAGAGCAGTGTTGTCCAATAGAACTAACCACATATAGCTCCCAAACATTTTGAAATGTAGAGCTCATACAGCGGAGGAACTGATTTCTAATTTTATTTAGTTTTAATTTAGTAAATGTGAATAGCCACCTGTCTAATGGCTACTGCTCTTAACAGAGTAGTTTTAGAGGTTACTGTTTTCCTATGTTTAAACTACTAAGATCAAGTCCACAAACATCACAAATTAAAAAGTATTTGGGCTGGGTGTGGTGGCTCACACCTGCAATCCCAGCACTTTGGGAGGCCCCGGTGGGTGGATCATGAGGTCAGGAGTTGAGACCAGCCTGGCCAATGTGGTGAAACCTTGTCTCTACTAAAAATACAAAAATTAGCTGGGTGTGGTGGCACTTGCCTGTAGTCCCAGCTACTCAGGAGGCTGAGGCAGAAGAACTGCTTGAACCTGGGATGCAGAGTGAGCCGAGATTGTGACACTGCACTCCAGCCTGGGTGACAGAGTGAGACTCTGTCTCTAAAATAAATATATAAATAAATAACGTAAAATAAAATACATGTTTGTCCCTAAAATGACTTTGCGTAAGCTAACAAATATCAATTCACAAGTTGACAAACACAGTATGTAATAAACTCCTTATCAAGTTCTGAACAGAGACTTGAAATATGTGCTTACATAAAATAAGGCAAAAATTCCAAGTTTAAAAGGTTTGTCTTGGCTCTTGCTGCAATTACGTTAAAGGCATTTTAAATCTCATGATGGCTGGGTATTGGCTAGGTATGGCCTGGGCAGGCTGAACGTGACTATCCTAATCCCTTAACCCAGTCTGCTATACTGTATACTGTATTTTTTACTCATGCAAAATGTAAAGAACAGTGGATTAGGGAAAAGGATAAATACCTGCTTTAGTTGACATGTGACAAATTGCTTGATTTGAGTGGGCATGGAATAAAGGAAGGACAAAATACCTGTGCTCCCTGGGCCTTACCAGTACCTAACCCCTTCACTTGGAAGAGCCTCCTTAGGCTTATCTGAACAACGGCCAGTCTACAACAGTAGCCTACCATATACTAGATTTTACAGTCCTTTCTTATATGCAATATCTTGTTTATTCTAATGGAAGTTAAATGCCCCCAAAAGAGATTGGTTTACCTGGGTTGGGGTAGGGGTGGGGGAGGACCCAAACTGGAGAACTCTGAAACATGACCAGACTAGGTGAAGACTGTGGTGGAACACACAGATTGGTAGTCACTACTAATTTTCTCAGCTCAAGTAACCTTTAATAAATGCAAAAGCCATTTATCCCCTTTAAAAACTGGTCTATGGTTGGGTGCAGTGGCTCAGGTCTGTAATCCCAACACTTTGGGAGGTGGAGGAAGGTGGATCACCTGAGGTCAGGAGTTCAAGACAAGTCTGACCAACATGGTGAAACCCCCTCTCTACTAAAATAGGATATTAGCCAAGGGTGGTGGCACATGCCTGTAATCCCAGCTATTTGGGAGGCTGACGCAGAAGAATCACTTGAACCCGGGAGGCAGAGGTTGCAGTGGGCCGAAATCACGCCACTGCATCCAGCCTGGGCAACAAGAATGAATCTCCGCCTCAAACAAGGGGTGAAAAAAACTGGTCTACATTTCTTTCCAATTGTTTTGGCATTCCTAGAAAAAAATGCTAAATTTGCTCAAAGCAAGAAATACCATGTCTCTAAAACCTTCTTTATCCACTAATACGCTATCATTCACATTGTGCTTTTACAGAATATTTTTCTGCTACTTTACACAAGCATTGACATGCCATTGACTACTACTTTGTGCATGCCAAGGGGATATACAGACTATTTCAATGATAGAGGTTTTACTCATCTTTTTGGTCAAAGAGAATTTACACCATTAATGAATATTCTGTTAATGTGCTTGTACCACAGTATCTTTAAAGTACCAAATATCTGTGAGGAATTAAATCTGGGACAAGGGGAGGAGAAAAGAAAAACATAAGTACCATACAGCAAAACTAAAATTTTCTCCTTTCTCTGTAGTCAGGGTCAACAATCTCCCTTTCCTTTGAGACAGAGTCAGTCTTGCTGTCTCCTAGGCTGCAGTGCAGTGGCACCATCTTGGCTCACTGCAACCTCCACTTCTGGGGTTTAAGCGATTCTCCTGCCTCAGCCTCCCTAGTAGCTGGGATTACAGGCATGCACCACCACTCCCTGCAAATTTTAATATTTTTAGTAGAGACAGGGTTTTGCCATGTTGGTCTTAAACTCCTGACCTCAGGTGATATGCCCTCCTGGGCCTCCCAAAGTGTTGGGTTACAGGCACAAGCCACTGTACCCGGCAACAACCTGTCTTCTACTGACAAGTAACAGTGAAACATGAGAAGTACTATCTTTCCAGCCCAGCACAGTGGCTCACGCCTGTAATATCAGCATTTTGGGAGGCTAAGGCAAGTGGATCACCTAAGGTCTGGATTTCGAGACCAGCCTGGCCAACATGGCGAAACCCCGTCTCTACAAAAATACAAAAATTAGTAGTCAGGCATGATGGCGGGTGGCTGTAGTCCCAGCTACTCAGGAGGCTGAGGCAGGAGAATCACCTGAACCAGGGAGGCAGAAGCTGCAGTGAGCTGAGATCGTGCCATTGCATTCCAGCCTGGGCAACAGAGGGAGACTCCATCTCAAAAAGTAAAATTTAAAAAATCTTTCCTAGTTAAAATAATCCTAATTAGGTAGGACAGGTCCTACTAGGAAATATGTAAATACTAAAGACTAGAAGACAAAAAGGAATATTTAAAATGCTGATGTTCTTCTAAAGTTCCCACATGTACATATAGATTCAACTAATGACAAGGCAAAAAAAAATTTTTTTAAGCAAACTTGTAAGGAATACATTAAGCAAATCAATTAGCTGAATCCCTTTTCCATATTGCACAACATTAAAGCGTACCTGATAATGGTTAATTCAATATGACCTTATCACTGGATCCACTATTAGAAGCAAATTTAGCTTTTCAAGTTTTAAAATATTTTCCGTTAGGCTAATTCATTAATTATAATTGAAGGTATATCCAAAACAAATATAAAACTACCCTACTAGAAAACCTTTATTCCAGCATCAAGTCCTAGGGGATTTCCTAAAGGCATGCAAAAACTTCATTAGGAGCCCATTACATTTATCTTTGATATTGACCTCAAAATATTCTGTTAAGATATTTTTGCAGTGTTCACACACTAAATCATACACATATTCTAAGTTATGAAAGAAAATGATTATGTAAGCAACTTCCAAGTTTCCAGATACTTAATGGTATGAACTATCTCAAAATTCAGGTGGTTGCTTTAAAACCTAACCCGGTTCTGAATGCTTGATTTAGCAGAAATACCAAAGAAAAAAAAATAATTAAAAAAAAACAAAAAAAAACAAAACACCCTAACCCAGAAGCCAATTCTGAATCTCAGACCACCTGCAAAGAAATTCTAGTGGACCAGTTAAAGTAGAGTTCACATAGTTACACTCTTCGCAATGCTATGGGCCAAATAATTCCCATGAAGGCCGTTTTTACTCCTTTTAATGCTTTCCAAATAATATTGCTGATCTACAGAAAATTAACCCCAGGATTTCAGTGTCCAATAGAGCAAACTGTTATTAATACATAAACACATTTCTGGAATGCGGAATTTTCTTTTGTCAATTTTACTAATTCTAGTCAAGAAACCTTTGGGACCAGGTATCTTTTTAAATTCAGAGTTCTTTAGATTTTTCAACAATAATGTAGTACACATACTTTACATATGTTATGTAATACTCTTCAGGAGAATGAGTCAGCACCCTGCAGCCACAATATTTCTGCAGCAAAATTGAGGAATATTAACACTAAATGGGATAAGTAAAGACAAAAATAGCCTCAAATCAGCACATATTCAGGTCAAGTCCCCCCTTCCCCCACCCCCGCCAAATCAGTTCAGGTCACATCAAGGAAGTCATAAAAAAAATTTTTTTGTTAGGACTTTTTGGATTTCACAATTTTATGAAAAAGGTATTGTGAACCTGTAGCTTTATAGCAAAGCATCAAATACCAGACATGCAAAATTAGAAAACTAAACACAAATATTTAAACAAGTTATATTTGTTTGACATAATATACATTGTATCTGGGCATAATAAAGGTAAAAGGCAGTCACTCTGGCTGCCAGAACCTGCAGAATAATCTTCAGCTTCTACCTGCTCCCATTCCCTCCTACCCAAAAGGAGGGAGACACTACAGCCTTTTGAATTCTATGTTATTAATCTAAAGACTATTTTTCCCCGATTTGGCACTCATTCAGCTCACTGACAACAGTCTCAAAGTTTCTAAGAGGAAACACCAGTAGATATATTAAGCATAATGCAAGGTAAGTTTTCTTCAAAGCAAGAAACTTAAACAGAAGGATTATCCTCTATTATGGTCTTCCCAACAAAAATGAAGCTTGTTCTTAAATTACTGCCTTAGATTCTATTTGTGACTATGATAGTAACATAACTGTAATAGATCCTACCACCCAAAAAGGTTTTAAATCTCCAGGCCAACTTGGGACAAAAACATCAGGTATGCTGCAAACAGAACAAATGGACTAACAAAAATTAGGCAACCGATTTAGTATTGAAATGGCAATGATCCTGCTTCTCTTTAATATGCACATAAGCCACCTGGATATAGATTTCTGATTCAGGTATGGGTGAGGCTGAGATTCTGAATTTCTGTTCTAGGTGAGGATGCTAATGCAATTCATCTGAAGGCTATACGGCATAACTAAACATAGTAATGCACTCAAAAAAGAAACTATGCCAGTACGACATTATGTTATAGCTGGGATTCAAAACACTCATATTTGCTCAAATTTACACAGGTAGACGATGGCCAGTATGGGAAACCTTCTTGTCAGCATTCTACATGAAAGCCTTCAAGACATCTTACTATTTAAACTGTGCTTCCTTCTCTTTAGCCTTAAAAATCTGAGTCTAAAATTCTAATTTTCATTACCATCAAATGTTTAACAGACTAATTAGAGCAAACATTTTTATCCAATAGGGATCTGTTTAACAAGATCAGATTAAAGGACCACTAAAAATGATACCCTCGGCTTTCTTGAAAACTTCAAATGCTATTATTCCCTCCAAGTTTCTGACCAAACTCAAAAACACTTAAATTTTAATACCAAAATCCAAATTTCCATAAGTCGAACATACTACAACATTTTTTAATAAACCCACACAAATCTAGCAGCTCAAATTCATTTTACTGTGGAATTACATTTTGCACAGGGGCTTAATTCTAAAGTCAAATCCACACATAGAAAACCAGGTACAGTCAAAAACTATCCTTGAAAATCTGTTTGGAAGGTGGCATGTTGGGAGACATACATATACCATCTTTCAATAAGTCCACAAAAAACAATCCATTTTTCCTACCAGCTGAGTATTAAAAATCATTTCACTATTAAGTGGTTGAATGATGTGATAAACTGCAACTTAAATCCCCAAACCCTTCTTCAGCTTATATTTTCTAAGTTACGCATTCAAGATAATGTTTTAAATGATCCAGTCATTGGTAAACAATACACACAACTAAATCAGTCAAGTCTGTAACTGGGAACTGTCATATCTCTATTTTAGAAAATTAAAAGTCACTGCACTTTAAGAGGTAAATACAATTTCAAACTCCGAAAAATACTAACCAATGCACACTCTTCCTTCAATTTTTAAGACCCCTTCACCCCCAACAAAAGTGCAAATACTTACATGGACAAGTTGGGAGATGGAACCCCCCTATCATCAGCTAGGTTCCCAAGGTGGCTCAGCGTTGAAGTCGAACTGCTCTCTATACAGCACTTCTCCTAGGCCCTCTGGGTAGTTGTATACTTGGTCAGAAAGTTCGCCCTAAATGAAGGAAATAGAAGTAGCAGAAGACAGTCCTATGTTAAAAAAACGTTTAGGCTGACTTAACAATGTTTCATTAAAGTCACATTACACAAATGATGTTTTCAAAGACTTTACCAAAGTACCAAGTACTTTATGTATTAAACATTTCCAAGCTGCTGTACCATAAAATTCACAGAAGCTGACGTCATGGCCATCTTTCCAAATTGTTTTATCTGCTTACTGATGAGTTTCCAGCCTTCATTTTTGAAAATTAAAAAAAAAAAAACTTCATTTTTGCTTTCATTTGTCCTATGCAACTCCACAGTTTTAAGTGGACCAGAATTTAAAAATTTCAAGTACCCTCACCAACCTAGTGAACATGCAAGCCTTTATATGAATAATGTACTAGCATGACCTAATAGTTTGGAACCACCCGGAACACTCTTACTCCTCAAATACTTTTTTGCTTTTTATATTTTAAGTGTAAAATTCCACCACAATACCAAAAGAAGACTTCATAACTTAGCTAATGCATTATATACGTAACTAACTTTTGAAAAAATAACTTGAGAACTACCTTATAATATTAAGCAAGTATTCTCTTATGGTTTATCTCCTCATACCTAACTTCCTTAGACATAACTCATTTTATTATCACCAGCAGCAAATAAATGTGATAAGTGCACAACACACTAAGCAACATACTAGATGAGCTTTAGACATTGAGTGATGATTGTTACCACTCATCACCTCTACTAAGTTAAAATGATATACCTATGTTTCTACTTAAAATTCAATGGTTACTGTTTTAAAGTAATATAATCCCATAGTATTCCCTAGAAAGGAGTGGTAAGAAGGAAGCCAGAAAACCAGAAACTGTAAGTTTAAGAGCTGGAGGGATTTCAAAAGCATTGTAGGCATACCTAATGTGTATCTCACTAAGATCAAGGCATTCCTGGTGGAGGCAAAATGTTCCAACTGTCTAGAAGGAGAAATTGATCACATGCTCAATAAATGACACTTACGGGTGATGAGGAAAGAACTCCTACAAACATGCAATGATAATAATCCTACATTAGATGCCAAATAATGCACTACTCCATGACATTCTGATTCTTTCAATACCAACATAATTTTTTAAATAAATAAAAAGTTGAGTCATGCTGGGAACGGATCATTCTCAATTATCCTAAAGAATAGGGTAAGATACCCTGGGTCAGGCATTACTCATCTGTTCCTCAATACATATATCCACAGCTATTTTGCTTCTTAACGCAACCCAAGGGCAATGATGTGAAACATTAAGGACATTAAACTTCAGACATTCCAGAATGTTCCTCAGTGAGAACCCTCCAACATTTCCATTTAACAAAGAGATACTAGCAGGGAATGAAGGCTCTAGAATTTGAAAGGCATAATTTGAATAGAAAAAATAAGGCTTGGTACAGTGGCTACAAGCCAGCAGATCAATTCAGGCCAGGAGTTTAAGATCAGTCTGGCCAACATGGTGAAATCTCGTCTTCTACTAAAAGTACAAAAATTAGCTGGGCATGGTGGAGCACACCTGTGATCTCAGCTACTCAGGAGGCTGAGGCATGAGAATTGCTTGAACCCAGGAGGCAGAGGTTACAGTGAGCAGAGATTGTGCCACTGTACTCCAGCCCAGGCGACAGAGGGAAATGAAAGAAAAGAAAGGGGGGGGGGAGGAAAAGGAGGGAGGGAAAGAAAGGAAAGAGAAAGAAAAGAAAGAAAGGAGCCAGGTGTGGCAGGATGCATGTATCTACAATTTCAGCTACTGAGGAGGCTAAGGCAGGAGGACTGCTTGAGCCCATGAATTTAAGTCCAGCCTGGGCAACACAGCAAGACCTGTATATTGAAAAAGCACATAGGATAAGCACTTCTTATAAGCAGTTACCTACAGGATAATCAAACACTTTTTTTTTTTTTTTTTTTTTTTTTTGAGGCAGTCTCGCTCTATCAACAGGCTGGAGTACAGTGGCAGGATCTCAGCTCACTATAACCTCTGCCTCCCAGGTTCAAGCGATTCTCCTGCCTCAGTCTCACAAGTAGCTGGGACTACAGGTGCACGCCACTATGCCTAGCTAATTTTTGCATTTTTAGTAGAGGTGGGACTTTACCACACTGGTCAGGATGGTCTTTATCTCTTGACCTCATGATCCGCCCACTGGGGCCTCCGTAAGTGCTGGGATTACAGGCGCACCCCACAGATAAACACTTCTTGTAAGCACTTACATATAGTATAGATAGAATGTTTATCTGGACAGTTAAGATAATAATGCATGGCTGGTGTGGTGGCTCACGCCTATAATCCCAGCACTTTGGGAGGCCCAGGCAGGCGGATCACAACGTCAGGAGATGGAGAACATCCTGGCTAACATGGTGAAACCCCGTCTGTACTAAAAATATAAAAAATTAGCCAGGCATGGTGGCATGTACCTATAGTCCCACCTATTCAGGAGGCTGAGGCAGGAGACTTGAGCCTGGGAGGTGGAGGTTGCAGTGAGCCGAGATTGCACCACTGGACTCCAGCCTGGGCAACAGAGAAAGATTCTGTCTCATGCAAAAAAAACAAAAAAAGATAATAAAGCAAGAATGAGTTGTTAAATGTAGAAAAGGCACTATGGAACAAGATAAATTATTTTCATTTAGAATGGTGTATGTAAGCCCTGCAAATTCTCAAACAACACCTTAGAGAATAGCAAGCACACAGAAAGCTCAGTTGGTCAGTAGCATACAAGTAGTATTTTATGCAATTATTTATTTTTACTTTCTTAAAAATTAGAGACAGAGGTCTCACCATGTTGCTCAAGCTGGTCTCGAATTCTTGAGCTCAAGTGATCTACCTGCATCAGCCTCCCAAAGAGCTAGGATTACAGGTGCAAGCCACCGTGCTCAATTACAAAAAACTTCGTATTCCAAACTTAGTATCTCAAAATTATCGGTATGTCTCTGAAAACACAATACCTTCAACAGTGATTTTTAAAATTGTTCTGTGGTATTCTTTATAAAAACCCTAAACCCCAGTCTAATCATGAGAAAAACATCGGGTTAACCCAAGTTTAGGGGAGGGGAATATGCTACCAGATACCTGGCAGCACTTTTCTAGACTGCGATGGTAATGATAAACAAGGGAAGACTGAGAAATTGTCACAGACCAAAGAAAACTGGGGAAGACATGGCAACTAAATACAATGTGGTAACTTGGATTCTGGAACAGAAAAGACATTAAAGAAAAACTGGCAAGTCTCGAACATAGTTAATAGTGCCAATGTCTGTTTCTTTTTCTTTCTTTTTTTTTTTTTTTAGACACAGTCTCGCTCTGTTGCCCAGGCTGGAGTCAATGACCCAATCTCTGCTCACAGCAGCCTCCGCCTCCCAGGCTCAAGCAAGTCTCCTGCCTCAGCCTGGGAGTAGCTGGGATTACAGGCGCCCACCAGCATGCCCAGAGAGTTTTTGTATTTTTAGTAGGGACAGTGTTTCATCATATTGGCCAGGCTGGTCTCGAACTGGTGACCTGTGATCTGCCTGCCGGGGCCTCCCAAAGTGCTGGGATTACAGGTCTGAGCCACCTCAGCCAGCCTAGTTTCTTAGTTTTAACAAATGTACTGTAATAATGTAAAATGTTACCAATAAAATAACTGGGTGGAAAGTATACAGAAACTATCTTTGCGACTGCTGTGCAACTAAAATATGCCAAAATAAAGTTTATTAAAAAAAAAAAAGCATGGGATAGTCACCTAATGGACTACTACTCAGCAACACAATCTACTGATACAGGCAACAGGAATATTAAAAATGTGCTGAGCTAGAGGCCTTTTACACCAAAGAATGCATACTGTATGAGTCCATTTATATAGAAATTCTATAACAAGCGAAGAGTGTTTTTTTGTTTTTTGTTTTTTTAAACCAAGATCGTGGTTGGCTCTGTGGTTAGTGGGATACAATCTGAAAAAACAAAACTTTTAAGGGTGTTGGCAATGTTCTATATCTTGGTAAGAGATTTAAGTTACATAGCTGTATTTTTGTCAAAGCTTATCAAATTGCATACTTCAGACTGTGAATTCATACTGATGTGAACTTTACCCTCTAAGATCTAAAAAATAAGCAGTACCGAGCCCTATTTAACATGCACATACTAAAGTTGGAGGGGTGAAGTGTTCTGGTGTCTCGAATTTACTTTGAAATGCATCAAAATGCATCAACAAATAAGGCAAAATGTTAACTGCAGAAACTAGGTGGAGGTATCATTCTTATCTTCTGTTTGGAAATATAAGTATTGAAACCTTGGGGGAGAAAGGCACTGACTGCTTGACTTCACTTATCACCACCGATAATCATTTTCTTTTGGAGTCTATCTTTCCTACTTAAACTCCTTGGGCTTTCTCTTCATGATCAGCATATGCACGCTCTCATATATGTAAAAGAAATTAATGAATTATGAGGGCCTTTCTAGACAATCAAGAGCCATACTTCTGCCAACCCTTCCTGTGTTTGATGTGCTTTGACGTATTTCTACAACAACCTTTGTTGAGCACACAGCAATTCTCCCTCCATGGAGTCCTTAAGATTACCAGTCTGGGAAATCACGATAGAAACACGACGGGACACAGAACGAATATAACCAAGATGCCACCACAAAATCCAGTTAAATGTGCTGAAACATCTTGGGACAGTAAACTGTGTTCCGGACTGTTTTGGGTTTCCGAATCAGCAACTTAGTCTATGAAACACACGTTCAGGATAGATACATTATTAAGGGTTAGGACACGCCACCACCAATAACTGTTGGCAATCAATACAGTACTTGATAAGCCACTCATCTACCAATCTCCCTCTTTCAGCCCAGGAATCGTGGCGCGGACGGAAAAACGAAGCCATGGTGACTAATCCTCAGGCCCCAGGAGGTGACTGAGGTGAGTGAAGGCGACTTGACCCAATCAGGAGCGCCGCAGGGGCGGAGCAGCAGCCCGAGGCTTCCAGAAGGGGCCAAAGGCCTCTCGATCGCTACCTGACACCGGGGCTTCCCCGCCGCCAGGCCCCAAGTGGCGTCAACTTTCCTCCACCAGAGGGGGACCGCGCTCCCCACACCCCCCAGGAAATACGACTTCCTCTGCAGCTGTCACCAGAGGCCGACGCGGGGCCCGCCCCGCTCCATTCATAACCAGGACCCCAGCCGTTGCAGCCCACGGCGCCGCCTGCCCGCCAGCCGAGCTCCGGGAGACGAAGGCGGCGGCAGCGCAGCGCGCAGTAGGGGCTGCGGGACCCCGGCCCCTAAGGGCTGCGGCCGGGCCCCCTCCCCGGAAACAGCAATGCACCACGGGAGAGGGGTGGGGGCCGCACGCCGCCAGGAAGGGACGACGACCCCCGGCGGCGAGACCCCAGCGCGCGGTCCCACACGTACACGCCCCCTCGCCCCAACCGCGGTGGCTCCGGGTCGGCAGAGCGTCCGGCGGCTGCCCGAAGGTCCCGAGGCTCGGCCCGCCGCCGCCGCCGGGGGCACCGACAGCCGCCACACATGCCGCCGCCGCCATGTTCGAGGCGGCCGGCCGTGGGGCATTGCGGGGAAGCCTGTGGGCGGCGGGGCCCAGCCGGAGCCCCCCGAGGTCGACCGCGCGTCCCAGACCCTCCCGCACCCCTTGGCTTGGTACTCACGTGAGATAACGGCCCAAAGAGTCGGGTAAAGCGTCTTCTCTTTTTTGGCGGAATTTTTAAAGAGGGATGTGGTTACCTTGAGCAGAAATACCCAAGGCGGCCTGGGCCATAGGCTGCGGGAGCGACGTGGGGGTAAAAGCGCGGCACCGACACCAGCTGTGCAGCAGTGGCGGCGGCGGCCGAAAGAGAGAAATAGAACAGCGCAAGGAAAAGAAGAAAGGCGCGGGCTGGGTGGGGAGAGGATTCCGACTCGTCACACCGCAGAACAGCAGAGAGAGAAAGGATGAGAATAGGCAGAAAAGGCGACGACAGGAGAAAAAAAAGGTAAACCTGCGGCCGCGACGGGAGCCTGAGAATGTGAGAAGGCGGTGCCGCCGACGCCAGTATTTACATCAGGGGCGTGGCCTGGTGACATCACAGCCGGCCGGACAGCCGCGCGAGCGGGGCGGAGCCCGGCTGTCGCCCGGAGAGAAGGGAGGGGGCGGAAGAGGAAGGAGGACTGAGCCCGGCAGAGAAAGGGGAGGGGGCGGCGCGCGACCGGGTCATGCAGGTGCAGACTGGTCGGCCGCTTCCCGCCCTCCCGCCAGCCTCAGCTCCCGGGCAGGCGGAGGGCGGCCGCGCGGGTGTGGGCCGGGAAAGGGAGGCGGCTGGGCCAGAGCGCGCAGTCAGCCCGACATCGCCCCCACCCCCGCGCCCGCCTCTCGGGCGCCTACGCTCACGCTGCGGGGCCCGGAGCATGGTGAGCAGAGTCGGGCTCCACGCTGGCCGCCTTTGAGATCTGTCCTGGGCCTGAGGTGGCGCGACCCCTCTGCGGCCTACAGTGGGCGTGGGGGATGCCTGTGGACGCATCCGAGCCTTCCCGTCGAGCTCCCTTGGCATTGTGAGACCTGTAATCCACCCTGGGGACAGCCCTCTCAGGCTGAGGCGCCAGCACTCGGGGATGCGGTGCTCCTTTAGGGAAGCGAGTTCCTCGTGGCCAGAAAGGACCCGCCCAGTGTTCGAGTATTAAAAGGGGTTGTGAAAATGGCCTCAGTGCTCATACGTTGCAATATGGTGCAGTGGAAATATTTTAAAGGAATAGGGCTTTTGTCTTCATTTTTAAAAAGGATTGGTGCAGTCAGTCCCAAACAGGACCAGAGTTGGCTAGGGGATTACTGATGTTACAAGCGCGCATTATTTCAATCCCCTAGGTGTCATTTTTGTGATCGTTTTTTCTACTCCACAACAGACTTTTTTACTAGGGGGTCGAAGATGATCCACATAGCTTTTAATTTATTTCCATCGTTTTTAGATGCCTTAGCACTAGTGATCGTGATCAGAGACCCCAGGTTCTCTCGTGCAACGCTTTGCAACCCAGACACATAGCACAAATGGAATTTGGATTGGCACATCCCTCCAAAGTTAAGGTCTTTAATATTAGGACCCTTCCCCCCCCTTCATTCTTCAGAACACTCTGTGTACTTTGAGCAGCACTGTGGTTGATTAATAAATCATCAAATATGAGAGGAAGAAAGCAGCCTTCCTAAGTGGAAAGGCAGGATATCTTGCGAGACTAAACTGTAGTCTCTCAGATGAGAGAGTATTCGGTAGAAATCAGGAGCTGTGGACGCATTCCTTGATTTTGTTTTTCCTTATTTTGCTCAGCTATATCTTGGCTCTATCTTTCATTTCTTGAAAGTTTTGTTCTATTCAGGGCCGGGCGCGGTGGTTCATGCCTGTAATTCCAGCACTTTGGGAGGCCGAGGCGGGCGGATCACGAGGTTAGGAGATCGAGACCATCCTGGCCAACATGGTGAAACCCCGTCTCTACTAAAAATACAAAAAAATCAGCTGAGTGTGGTGGCGCACGCCTGTAGGTCCAGCTACTCGGGAGACTGAGGCAGGAGAATTGCTTGAACCCAGGAGGTGGAGATTACAGGAAGCCGAGATCTTGCCATTGCACTACAGCCTGGGCGACAGTGCGAGACTCCATCCCAAAAAAAAAAAAAAAGTTCTCGTCTATTCAGAACATTTAAAAGCACAGCAATTTCACTAGACCCTCTCTGGTGGAAGAGGGAAAATAGCAATGAATACAACATTTGAAACCTTGCTTACAATCTAGCAGGGGAAATAAGACAGCGATACAAAATAACTAAATTGTTGACAGATACAAATAAAATGTTGCAAAAACCTAGTGGAAGGAAGAGATGATTACAGCTAAGTGAGAGAAAGGCTGCTGGGGAAAGGTACAGAGTGATTTTGAGAAAAGCCATTCCAAAGGTGCTTCCTGTTTCACTAAACTCGCCTGTTAGGTGATTTTGAGAGCAGATGTTCCAGTGTTCCAGGCAAGGGAAACAGATGAGAGAAGGCACAGAAGAGTAACCTTTCTGGTTCTAGCATAGGTGCATGGCTGCAAATGAGCTTGAAAAGGTAGATTAAGGGATATCAAGATGACATTGGAGAGGGGAGGGGAAGGAGGGAGGGAGGAAAAAAAAGATGACATTGGAATTTGGACTTTATTCTGGAACCATATAAACAGGAACATGAAATACTCAAAGATATGGGTTTTGGTTTTTTTTGTTTGTATGTCTTGTTCTTTGTTTTTGTTTTTGTTGAGAATGGAGTCTTACTCTGTCACCCAGGCTGGAGTGCAGTGACATGATCTCGGCTCACTGCAACCTCTGCTGACCTAGTTCAACCAATTCTCCTGCCTCACCCTCCTGAATAGCTGAGATTACAGGCACCTGCCGCCGCGCCTGACTAATTTTTGTAGTTTTAGTAGAGATGGGGTTTCACCTTTTTGGCCCGGCTGGTCTTGAACTCCCGACCTCGTGATCCATCCATCTCAGCCTCCCAAAGAGCTGGGATTACAGGTGTGAGCCACCGTGCGCAGCCAAAGATACGTTTTTTAAAAGATTACTCTGGTACCAGTGGATGGGATTGAAAAGAGATGGAAAGTTTAGAAGTGAAGGAAACTCTTACAGCAGTTTTGTGGGGGTTTTTTGGTTTGTCTTTTTTTAGTACTAAGGGGACAGGGCGTAGTGGCTTACTTGGTGGCCTAGTGATGGCATGGTGGCCTAGCACTTTGGTAGGCTGAGGTGGATGGATCACTTGAGGCCAGTAGTTCGACAGCCTGCCCAACGTAGCGAAACCTGCCTGCCCGACGTAGCAAAACCCTGTCTTTACTAAAACTACAAAAATTGGCCAGGCACAGTGGCTCACGCCTGTAATCCTAGCACTTTGGGAGGCCGAGGTGGGTGGATCACCTGAGGTCAGGAGTTCAAGACCAGCCTGGCTAACATGGCGAAACCCCATCTTTATTTCTATTTTAAATAGAAAAAGAAAAAAAACTGCAAAAATTAGCCAGGCATGCTAGTGCATGCATATAGTCCCAGCTACTTGAGAGGTAGTGGCAAGGGAATTGCTTGAACCCGGGAGGCAGAGGTTGCAGTGAGCTGCGATCGCGCCACTGCACTCCAGCCTGGGCAACAGAGCTGGACTCTGTCTCAAATAATAATAATAATTATTATTAATAAAATTACTAAGGGGATTCAGAATGGATGGGAGGGAAAACGTGCAGAGAGAGTAGAGGTAACTTGACTTTCATAGATGAGAAGGTGTCAAATGATTTGGCAATAAGTAAGCTTATCAACAGGGAGAATTCAGGAGCTGTAAACAGAGATAGAAATACAAGGATTCAGTTTGGAGAGAATAAGATGAGTTTGGAGTTTTTTGCTTTTTGTGTGTGTGAGAGACAGCATGTCACTCTGTTGCTCAGGCTGAAGTGAGGAGGCACAATCTCAGCTCACTGCAACCTCCAGTCCCTGGGCCCAAGTGATCGTCCCACCTCAGCCTCTCGAGTAGCTGGAATTACTGGTGCAGTACCATGCCTGACTAATTTTTTTGTATTTTTTGTGAAGATAGGTCTTGCCATGTTGCCCAGATTGGTTTTAAATTTCTGGACTCAAGTATTCCACCCACTTTGGCCTTGGAAAATGCTGGGATTATAGACATGGGCCACCACACCAGGCCTGAGGCTGCTCTGATATAGAGTTTGAGCTGTTGAAGAAATATTCAGGATCGGCTGCATGCGGTGGCTTACGCCTGTAATCCCAGCACTTTGGGAGGCCAAGATGGGTGGATCACGAGGTCAAGAGATCGAGACCATCCTGGCCAACATGGTAAAACCCTGTCTCTACTACAAATACAAAAATTAGCCGGGCATTGTGGCACATGCCTGTAATCACAGCTACCTGGGAGACTGAGGCAGGAGAATCACTTGAACCTGGTAGGCGGAGATTGCAGTGAGCTGAGATCACGCCACTGCACTCCAGCCTGGCAACAGAGTGAGACTCTATCTCAAAAAAAAAAAAAAAAAAAAAAGAAGAAAAAGAAAGAAATAGCCAGGTAAAAATGGTCCAGAGGCCTTAAAAATGGGGAGATCTGGGACCTTTTGGGTGTAAATTTGGGAGCCTTTCCTACAGACATGATCATTAAGGAATTGTTGAGGTATACAAGAAAAGGGTCAAAGCATAGGATCTAGAAAATGCCACAGAGAAAAGACAGCAGCAGAGAAGACCAAGAGGCCAAGGAAAATCACGATAGTGCAGTCTTGTGCTATTCAAGGAAGAGGGTGCTTATTCCAAAATGGAATGAGTGATCAGGGTTGTCATATCCTCAAACAGGTTGGAAAAGGGATTCTGATTTTGGCAAATGGCAAATCATTGGTAAACACTAATCTCATATTAAGAAGTTTGGGTTTATTAATGCTATAGGAACTATATGCCATAGGAACCTAACGCTTATTTAAATCAATTAGTCTCTGGCAAAATTGATTTTGTTATACAGTACATGGTTTGACTTAAGTTACAGTTTCCAAGAACTATGGATGACATCAAGTGAATATATACTGTATTAAGTATGACTGTATATAGTAGATTATGGCATCGTAGCATTATATAGTATATTATTGCAGTCTAAACATTTAGGAGTATATTGTGTTTTAGTTCTCTGCCAGCCCACAGAATTATTCAGACAAACCCATAACATTTTGTTTTGAAATTCAAGGAGCATCTCACTTTCTTTTCATTTTTTTCTTCTCCTCCTAAGAGACAGGGTCTCACTGTGTTTCCCAGGCCAGAGTGCAGTGGCATGATTATAGCTCACTGCAGCCTCCAACTCCTAGGCTCAAGCAATCGTCTCACTTCAGCCTCTCGAATAGTTGGGACTACAGGTGTGCACCACCATGGCTAATTAAAAATTTTTTTGTACACATGGGGTTTCACTGTGTTGCTATAGAGCTAATCTCAAACTCCTGGGCTCAAGCAATCCTCCCACCTTAACTTCCCAAAATGTTGGGATTACAGGCATGAGCCACCACACCCAGCCCATCTCACCTTCTTGATACTACAAAACCTTCCTCACACCCCTGTTTGTTCTCTCTGCTCCCAAGTACAGTCTCTATGTGAGCCTGTGTAGCTTATACTACTTTCCTCCTCTTGTCTGGGGTAACGTGTAACTTATAAACTGTTGTCAATCTTTAAAGGAAAAGAATGTTTGGGTTTATATTCCAAAGGTACTGGAAAGGTTTCAATCATGGAAATGATTTCCATTTTAGAAAAGGTGAGAAAGTGGGGATGGGAAGATAAAATACTCTGTTTTTGGCAGGGAGAGCACATGAGAAGCCATTTTAGTCATTCATGGAGAATAGTAAGGGCCTGGAAATATTTTTTTCTATAACCTTTATCAGAAGCCGGGCGCGGTGGCTCACGCCTATAATCCCAGCACTTTGGGAGGCCGAGGCGGGTGGATCACGAGGTCAAGAGATCGAGACCATCCTGGTCAACATAGTGAAACCCCGTCTCTACTAAAAATACAAAAAATCAGCTGGGCATGGTGGCTCGTGCCTGTAATCCCAGCTACTCAGGAGGCTGAGGCAGGAGAATTGCA